TAAATAAAATAAAATAACGAAGTTCAGATTATGAATACGACAGGGGAATTCTGGGAGTTCTTATCCCCAAAAGAAACTTCCCCTAGCTCTGATGCAAGGTTAACAGAAATGTTTCTTCATGCCTCCCAACAAGAGTACTGGAAGATTAAAAAAAATGGGATAATTGCTGAAGTTGGCCATCTTGAGCTTCCCGTAGAAAAGGAAAGACAGCTTAACAGCAAATGTATAGGTTAATACCTTTGTTTTTATTTTTTCACTATTCTTATTTGCTTCAGTTTCTCTTCAGGCTGCCACTGTGCAATATAAAAGAGCATTCTATGCCTGAAGAAACTTAAGATTATGCTAAATTAAACCTTGAAAGATAAATTTAGAGAAAACACAAGATAGTGAACTCTGTGCTGTTCCAGTTATGATTAAGTGCCGCCTATTAGAGACATCTTTAATATGAGGTCTCTAAAATATTGACTTTGGACACCTCAGTAAAATGAAAATATAAGCCATGGTGCATTCAGGTGTATTACACTACTTCTTCAAAACCCATCAACAACAGAGTGATGAGCTAGGTCCTTACGCTTTCACATTATAAATGACTGCTGCCATTAGAACAACTAGTAACTTCTTTGTGCTCTGGAATGAAATTACTTCTACTGTAGCATAACATTTGAAAAGATATTTCTTGATAACGATGTGCAATGTCAAGCCTGAGTAGACAAATTATAGGCTTGTTAAATAGCTCTGCCATCAACTAATGAATACATTCACTTTCCTATTTGTTATCATTTTAATGCATTCTTTTCCTGGCAAGGCATTCTCATGCTAGCTGCAGACTTACATATTTCAAAAACTATGCCTACAGAAACCACAGTTTGCATGAGAGAAAGACAGAAACCACCCCAAATAACACAGGGCAAATGCTTCTTGTTCCAAAAATCTTCCTAGGATGAAACATTATGAAAACGATGGGAAAATATGGCATTTTCATAATTAATACCTTGTGGGAGACTGAAAATACTGGCATATTTTGTAGACATCCAGCTTTCAATAAATCCAGGGATACATCCATTTCGCCAGCTGAAATGAAGTCTGTCTGTGGTTTGACATCTTGGAAGCAAGTTATCCTCACCCCACTTCTAATGTCAAACCACTTTTGAAATTTTTCAGAAGCAACTGTTGATATACAGGTATGGATTGTTGCTAAGGAGGGGGAGGCTTTCAAGGTGTCATAAAATAGCTTTTTGAAAAAGGAATATTTCTGCTGAGATACGAATCCATGCAGAAAACGGGTTTGCTTAGGAAAATATGTTAAAGTTAGTATTCATAAATATCCTTTTGTTTTTCTAAGCTTCTGAGAACGATCCTCCAGTACAACACCAACTTTGTAACGTAGAATTCATACGCCAAGTAATGCAAAGAAAACAATTCCATTTCTGAAGCCTAAGACAGGCTTCTCCGGGGATGTCAACTCATACATAATCTTTCCAAAATTATCTCTATCAAAGATGGTTGCAGAAAACCATGTCAAATCAACCTGTGCAGAAAGGTGACAAACACCTTACTTAAAGGAGACCTTGTCACGTTGAATTTTTCAGAGCAGCTAGAAGAGTGAAAAGACACGCCATCCTTTAAATAGCATGGTCATGCATTCTTAAACTCTCTGGTTTTTAAAAAAGATTGAGTGAGAATAAATCCATACACTCCTGCTAGCAATGCCTCTATGGAAAGAAAGATCACTTAGTGTGATTTGTTATTCCTTAATATCTTCCTTCCCCTGCATAATTAGGGAAGTGGTTAGCATGCTCAGATCATTCAGAGCTTCTACTAAGTGTTTAAATGGCACGATTTGTGTTAGGAAAGGTTCCTGTGAATAGATATCCTTACAGTAAACGTTTCTCTCTGCAGCAACCAAAAATTGCTGAAATATGCTCAGCTGTTCAGTAAGACACTCATCTATTCACAGATCCCATGACAGCTGGCATAGAGATGTCAGAAAAGTTAAGTCCTAACTTTATTTGTTTATTTGTTTATTTGTTTATTTAATTTATATGCCGCCCACACTACCCAAAGGTCTCTGGGCGGCTTACAAAATTTAAAATACAATAACTTTACACATGCTGGCAAATGGAGATTGTGTGGGTTCCTTTTTCTGGAAGTTATAAAGATCAGAATGTGTGTTAACATTTCTTGCCGTCTGGGGGATCCTAATGTACTGCACTTGATTATATGCCTGAGAACTGGTTCTGGCATTCGAAGGGAGGCAGTCTTGTACAAAAAAGCCACTGGAATGCTAAGTCTACCTGGGTGACGTATGCAACACAGATGAAATAGTCACATGGAATATTACCTGCCTCATTGAGATCTGGGGGGGAAATCTATCTTCCAGGACAGAAAATGAGTAATTTCACAGATGTCTGCTACTGCCATTTGTGCATCATCCACATGAATTGCATTTCCACCCACCTACCCAAGTTATCTCCCTCCATGTTCAAACAAACACTCAAGAAAGCTCTTCCCAATGCCACGATTCAACAGTTCGACATATTTCCCATAGCGTGTCTCATGAGACTACCCATTTGCAATGCATCTGAAACATTACTTAAACAAGGGACGCCTGCCCCTCATCAGCCTACATTCCAAGAGCAATTAAAAGATGGAATTTTGGAAATATGTTCAAAGAGTGTATTTACAGTGTCAAAAGCTTCTCTGCCTGCAGATTTTAAATATGTTAGGCCCAGTGCCTGAAAAACAAACCTTTATTTGGAGGCACCTTTTGCCATTATTACATCCATTGCCCTTTAAATTTGATTCCCATTTGGAACATTTGTAACGCTTACAATTAACTTAATCCCTCAGAATGAAGAGCATGCCTGTGTCCACCCAGCAGTGTTTTACCTTATCAGCCTGGCGCATGTAGCAGTAGAGAATTCCTCGCATACATTTTATGGCAGAATGCTCCAGCTCATGGGTTCTTCCCTTGTCATCATCAATACGCCTGAGTGAGAAAGATAACCATGGAACAAATTGGAAATGCCTTCAGAACAAAGTTAAAGGGACCAGCATCCCTCTTCTGATAGTTAAGTACTGAGAATGTTTTATATAGTGGCACCCGTTAACAGTGAGACAATCAGACCCTATCAATCTTCCTCCAATAAAAGGAATGGCTGAAAAAATAGCTGGCTAGCCTCTAGGATGTAGAAGATAAGTCAAAGAAAAGTTGCCTTTAAAGAAAGCCAGCACAAAAATAATGAATTATAAAATGATCAGCAAGTATGCTATTTTATTTGACATGTAGGACATGAAACAACGGATTCAAATTACAAAAAAGAGGAAATTTGACCAAACATGACTGAAAGAGACAATAAAAATGAAATACCTTTCTAGAGGCAAAATAATAACAAAGTACAAGAGTCTAGACACACATTCCAAAGCATGGGGGCTGTAACAGAAAAGGCACTGCTTGTTCAGGAGGGTTAACACTCACCCGATAAAATGTACAAAAAATTGCAGTGGAAGCCTCCCACCAATAGCTTTCCAGTATCAGAGATCTTCATTAACTTTATTTTCCTAATATTACGTACATTTTCAATCATCACCAAGTATAACAAATTTAAGGCCAATAATGGAAATGTCTATATACGTGCATCACGACTTCTAATACCTCTGGTTCAAAGCTAAAGCACCGAAGCAGGAGAAGGGAACGCTCCGAGGCAGATCCAGTTGCTTCTGATAACATACCAGGGAAAAAGTAACACCCATACAAACCTTTAGATCTTCACTATCAATTTCAGTATCTACTCCATAGGGAGAGGGAATTAATGCTGTCACAAAAGGCAACTGTCAAGAAGTCCTCTATGAGGCAGACGTGGAAGAATGCAAGGGTCATCCTGGCTACCTTTTATTAGCTATTGTTTTGTGCTCAGCAGTCGCATTTATAACTTAAGTGTTCTACATTTTTTTTAAAAGGAAAGGTATTAAATTAAGCATATGCATTCAGAAAGTCGACGTTTGCAACTTGTAATTAAATGGAACCCCTCAAGTGGCGACTCCACTGGTTAAGATGCTTTGAGTTTTGATTTGCTGCTACCAAGGGTACTTCAGACAAATAGCTGTCAATTTAAAAAAAGGAAAGGGACATGCTTTTAAAGGTGAACAGGTTCAGCCAGGAAAAAAGTAGTGCGGAAAATCAAAGAGTTGCAAATGAATATCTCCAGTGGAAAGCACTGATAGAATGAGCCATCTTTTGAGAAACAACAAAGCCTTTAGTTTAAACCAGGAAGGAAACTAGCCTCTGCTGGTGAAAGCTGTTTGTGGAAGAGATCATCTTGCACTTGACAGGGAATTTTGTGCATGGAAATGAAATTATAATTAGCTCTTCAAATGAAAATTGTACAGAGCTGCACTCGAGAAGGAAAAAGAAAAAAAATTATCTCCTTGCTGGGTGATGCTGACTGCAAGGGAGAAGGCATAAATTATTCAGCATTCCCATGTCATTTTTCTTGCCTCATAAACAGCACAGTCAAACTAACACTACCTTCCAATGTGTTCTGCATTAGGGAAAAAAATACAGCGTTTGATGACCAGCAGAAAGCAATAGTCTGAGTTGATAAGTGTGTTTTACAATGAGCTGAAAAAGAATACTATAGCATTTATCCCACTCTTCTTGGTTTTGGATGGCTGACCGCTTGGTTGCTGTAGACGACCCATGCTGTGCTAGAATCTGAAGCAGGTTCTTCCCAAAAGTCAACTAATGTGCACACTGCTATTCAACAGATAATTTAACAAAACAAAATAAACTCTCCCACCATCTTCTATTACAGACATAGACAACTTTTTGTTGTTTTAAAATCCAAGACCTCTTAAATTACATCCACAGTAGGGAAATTATTTCAACACCATTTCTGTAAAGATAAGAAAATACCAAGAGACCTAGGCTATTGGAGAAGACCTTATGCTTACAGTGGTATGGCTCTCCAGATGTTTCTGAACTACTATTTCCATCATCTCATATCATTGGCCATGGTTGTGAAGGCTGTCCCACTATTTTTGGAGGGCTAGATTCCTTCACAGACATACCCCACAATTGCGACCATAGAGTGGAGATAGCATTATAAGGAGGAGCCATACCCAGTACTCCCTAAAGGTGACCTGAGACTTTGCTCCCATGGCAGGAAGACTGGGGGAGGGAGGGTTTGTTCCTTGATTCAATTGCCTTCTGGCAAGGAAATGGGAACAGCATTTGAAACCTGAACCATGGATTCCAGAGAGTGCCAGCCTCCTTGCAAAGGCTCAGAACCTTGATACAGCAGCGAGCAGAACATATTGGGCCTCTGAAAATCTGGTATTTGAAATCAAATCTGTACTACACCATGACCTCAAATTTTAATGGGGGCAACAACGGAGTGAGAAGTTTAAGAAAATCACACTATCAAGCTCTGGATGCAAATCACACTTTGATGCCAGAAATGGGAAGATAATACATCTGGAATACAAAGGCATCCTTCATAGAGCATGAAGGGCAAACCCATTTAAATGAGAAGGTACTGGGAACTGGAAGAGGAAATTATGTCTATAAAAATTATATTCTGAATGGCACCAGACAGTTAATCAACCACGAGATGAAACTGGAGGTTCCAAAACCACATAATGCTGATTTTTCAAGGTCTAAAAGGTACCAAATGAGGTTCTTGCAGCTTGCAAGATTCTCCCAATGTGTGCAGACCTGGTGAAAGAAGTAATTAGAAATCCGCTTAGCTTTTCCCCTGACCAAATGGAATGAAGCGCACCCTCTTGTTTCTATATTCTCTATTCCATTCATGGCCAAAGATTTATAGGCCACACTTTCAGTATGCCATTGATCATACCAGCATCATTGTGGGCGCAACGTTGAACAACAAAATTCCAGTGCCTGTATATGATTACTTTGATTCCTATACCATCATTTACACATTTAGTTACATATTTTATATATCTAGGGTACTCTATTCAATTAAAAATACTTCCAATGTAATAGGTGAAAAGAAAGTATTAAGTACTGATGCACTGTAAAACTACTTCAGATTTCAACGTATTCTCAGGAGTTACTATGGTAACACTATCCTTTAATGAATCCTTCTATAGCTACAATTGCTCATCTTTTATCATTTAGATGGCTTCATCATATTTAATTATGCAATATACTAAAGTACCAAACATTAATTATTTCACATTTATTTCCAAATTTATTTTGATATGGTAATCTTTCTCTTTTCTCCAGCTTGGGTTTCATTTATTTATTTTCATTTGCCACTTTGAATTCTAGTTCCAATAGCTCATTGATAATATCCAATGAGACAATTAGACAACCAACTTCCACCCTCTCTATAATCAACAAAAGTTATTTTATTCACACTTTCACATTACAGTAATTAAGCATAAGAACAGGAAAGGCTGGACATAACTTGACTACAAAGATTGAATACATCTTGTTCTGAAATACACTGGCTAGGTCCACAGTTGCAGTAAAACACTTCAATCTACAGGCAGAAGGCATACCACATTTGAATGTGATCTCACAAACAAAAGTGAACACAGATAACTACAAATAGAAATCTCGGATTTAGGAAAAATGAACATTTAAGAGTTGGTGGTTTTTGAAAGAAATATTGTGAGGACGAATGCACCAGTATGTGAAAAACAAGGAAGCTCTATCAGCTGTAACAACTATTATAATTTTTTTTAAACTGCCTTTAATTATAAAATTTGCATTCAGTTGCTGATGACTGACAAGGACATTCTGTTGACTGTTTCAAAGTTTTGTAAAATGACATGTCGTAAGTACATAATTTATCTGGTCAAAATCCTATGTTAGTCCCACCTAGAAAAGAACCACTCAAATAATAGAATCTGTTAGTCACAAGTAAATTCAGCTCCATAGATTTTGGGAAGGCTAGTTTAGGCTGGAGCAGTAAAAAAAATCAAAATGCATTTTATAAAAGTCATTAGTAATAATGAATGGATGCCAGGAGCATACTAGGCAAACCTGGAAAAATCAGCAAAATCATTCTTATATGCTCAAGCAAAACATAAAGCAAACCCCCACAAGCTGTACGCTGTTATGAGATTGATGCTTCCCAGCTGATTATTCCTAGGGAGGATGTGTAAGGCTTAATCTGTGTTTATTGTTTTGGAAACACAGGAGTAAGATAAAACCACAAATAGATATCATAATCCAAAGAATGCCAATTTGTGAATTGACCTTTTGGCTGGATAGGCTGAATAAAAACTAAAACTAAAACTAATATTTGTTTAGCTTTCAGCAAACACAGACAACAGTGTCTTCACTTCCACAGCACTGTGGCTCAGCAGCTGCAGTCAAGATTCTGTGCGGTCCATCAATGTGTTTTAGAATGTTAGAAAGTAAGCAAGCGAAGGATCCTCGTGGGAGGATGAGACAGTATGACTCGTTTAGAGGGGATCTGAATTCCCCTCTCTACAGTTCTGCTCTATCAACACTCATAAGCTGTTCAGAGACATACAAAGTTTTCCTTAATAAACATGCATTTCCAATGGAGGTCCTACATCAAGTAACACTTTAGCTAAGGTACTGGAAAAATTTTCTGATCCAAAACGGTCCAGATTAGTCAGTTTACCAGTTGACACTGATACTGATGTTACCCATTTTAACTTGCATGTGACATCTTCCAGGAAGCAACACAAAAGGAAGGCCTGGCATGGCGGCCATTCTAGTTAAGTGTCCTTGGGCTTGCCCAGGCAAGATTTCTACTGGACAAAGAAAGGACCCAAACTGCACACGTAATTCATTTTTGTAGGTTTAACATTCACTACCCCTTTGGAGTAACTTTTGGGGCTATAAACCCTAGCCTGCAATAAAAGCTATCCTAAAACCATTTACTCTCTATGATAGACGACAAAAGAAAAGAAAAACCCTCCGCCAGTGACATAAAAGGTTCTTTTATGGGTTGTATTATTTTAAGATTCAATTACTACCAGACGTTTCATTTTGTGATAACCCTGTATCTTAGTTTCCTTCCCTCTGATCCTGACTGGTATCATTCAACATTAAACTTTATGTTGTTCACTCTAGAAGTGACTGCTGTTTCGATATTAATAGCAATCTTACACCTATCTAATATCGATTAATTGCACACCGCATCAGAAAGCACAGCAGCACCAGGAAAAACCTAAAGCTTTGTTTACAAGTTTATTTTTCATTTTTACATTTGCCTGTTATAAACCTCCCCGGATTTTATGTTAGGGGCAACATATAGATGGCATAAATAAATACACACCGGCATGCTGAAATAGTACATAACCACCTTTTCATAAAGGTGATGGGTCCACTAGAGGAGATATTTATATTCCGTGTGCAGTGGTTGGAAAATTCATGGAATGAGCTATGAACAAGCACACTGATGAGGGATATTTTTAGGAGACAGACAACATGTCAATTGAAAATCCACAGACATGCAGACCAATAAAACTGTGGAAAAGCTGGAGATGGCATAGACTTGGCATTATGATAATTATCACCAGAAACCTGGTTGCAGAAAGGGAAAACTCTGGCTTGTAGGGATACAACATAAACAAAACAAACAAAATGGAACCTGAAACATATATTTACAAAATCACTTCTACAGAGATGAACAGCTGGAAGAAATTGTATTAGGTTTCACTATAGCTTGTTTTGACCTGTTTTCCATTTTTGTTCATAAATGCCGAATACAGGCTGATAGGCTTTTTGCTAAACATCTGGAGCACATTTAAGGCAGTCACACAAACAAGAAAACAATTTATTTACCTGTAGGCAAGCGCCAGTGCCCACGCGCATGCAGCACAGTAAAGACTGTCATGTACTTTTGCCCTCTGTTTGTCACCACATGTTTGTGTGGGAAAGAGTCCAGTGGTTGGGCTTTGGAAAAGCAACACGGTTGACTTGACTGTCAAGAGGAACAAACAAAAATGTATCTTAATTTCTCACAGCCTTCAATTTCTACACTACAAGAAAGAAAGAAAGAAAGAAAGAAAGAAAGAAAGAAAGAAAGAAAGAAAGAAAGAAAGAAAGAAAGAAAGAAAGAAAGAAAGAAAGAAAGTTTAACTGATATAGCCTCCCTTCAGGGAACTCAGAAGGTCTTAGAGATGCCTACAGATTATCTCACAAAATGGCCATGGGCTGGGCAAAAATTCTCACTTCCTTTGAGACTGCAGGGAGAATTCCTGACAAGGAGGTAAAATGTTCCTTGCCATCAAACACAGTCTAACAGAAATCTTCATGTTGGATGCAGATAATGACTTTTGCCCAAGGAAACTTTCTCATGCTGTCAAATGTTAAGGAAATGTTTCCTCAAGCATCCGATACATAAAAAATAAAATTACATAACATAAAACATCCTATTTGCAGGTTTGGTGCAACACTGTTTCTCTTCTTTAGGTGTGGCTTTATAACAATGTTTCCAATGCCATCAATCCTTCTTTCATCTAATTATAGGAGGTTCAGTCCCCAGAATCCTGCCTGAACCCCTGGGAATCCATCACTGCCAAGCAATATCAATAGTACAGGGTATTCAGCAGCTCCCTACATTCCTATATTCCTATGATTTCAACCAAAAAGCGGTTCTAGAGATGGGCACCCTGGATCGGGTGTCCCACCCCCTCTCGTGGGCCCTCCATCAGAAGCAGCACTGTGGGCTTCCCTGCCTTGCCTCCTCCTCTGAGTGGACGCCTGTGGGAGGAGGTGGGGCACGGAATCCGGGGTGCCTGCACTACACCTGTGGGCCCGATCCTCCGAACCACGCTAAGCGCCCATCTCTAAGCAGCCCCATTTGCATTACCCTATTTTAGAACTAAAATTCAGTGACTACCTATTGCACTGAAAAAGCCACTGGACCTCCACAGGAGACCCTATGGACAACTGAAGAGTCCATCAAAATCAAACGTTTCAGATGCTGCAAGAATGTTTCTGCTGACTGTCTTAGGCTGAGCTGTCACGGCAGCTTTTTAGTCCTGAATAATTAAGCTCGCTGCTTTAGTGATGAATCACATAGCCATTACCTGGCTGGATTCAAATAAATGAGCAGGCACTTACTGACTGAAGACACAGCAGATTTTAGCGGGCCATATGGCTCACGGTTGGTTGCCTGTTTTAAAAGATAATATGATAAAATGGCTATGCCTACTGCGCATCAGCAGCATTCAACTCCATCCAAAACTAATCTGGTCTGTATGCGACTTCAAAACGAATATGTGGAAACAAAGCAGCATCACCACCGAATGAGGGCCTGGACTTTTTACAATCCCAGTTATATTACATGACAAGAACATGCTATCATTTATCTTACTTAATCACTTGACTTTTCTTTTCAAAATAAAAACTTAAATGCAGCATGCAGTAAAACATAAAAATATGCCAATAAAGGCACAAAAAAACCCCACCAGATTTGAGAGGAGCACTGATAAATAGTATTTCAGAATTAAATGAGGTTCACTTTCCCCAGCAGCAGAGAGAAAAATGCAATTTAATCAAGTCTTCCCTTAAAGCTTTCAGAACAACTCGTTCTCAACAAGAGGGTGAAATGAAAACAAAGAAGAGGTTGGACAGGTTTCCCTGGAGAGGGTTCTTCAGAGTGTTGACACCACAACTGAAACTATTCCTTCTTCAGACCTACCACATTTCAAATTGGTGAAGGCAAATCCAAGACACAATCTCTGAATTTGTCTAAGTGCACAGATATAAATTTAGGGCAGAAAGTGATCATTCAAGTTTGTTTTTGTTAATGGTCCTTGGATTTTCAACATAAATAACAATGGCTATCTAGGAGAACACGCCACACTGGTCAAAATGCTGCAACTGGAATGATATCATCAACCAAATATTGCTAACTAAAAATTCCCCTGTGCAATTTCTAACACAGCTCACACACAATGAGACAAGGTTATGCACCCCAAAATGAAAAGGGAAGTCTTTAACCAATAGCAATCTGCCACTGACTATGATGTGATTCTCCTTGTATAGGCAGAACCCTACCCAACAGGATTTTGACCAGTATTTCCGAATTTTTAAGTAGTTATAGTAACACTAGACACGTAAGACATGCATACACATATGTGCCCAGGCACACATATAGTACCACATAGGCAGAACATTTGTCTTTTCTTAGGACTCACTTATTCGGTAGTAATGATCCAACTTATTCCACAGGCTCTCTCCATCTCTCGGGAGATTAATGCTCTTGAGGGGTTCATACACAGAGCCTAAAGGAAGACGTTTTGAGAACATGATCACAACCAGAGGAGTAACATGACATTAGAACTACAGTCCTTATAAATATATTGCTTAGAATTCCCTTCCATTGATTGTCAGCTTATCTGTCATTCACTTTTTAGCAAACCTCTGAGACAGCTTACCGTGATTTTAAAAAAAAAAACAGAAATGACAGCAGCAATCGTTAACAAGGCTAGAAGAGCAAATCGGCAGCATTGGTCCATGACAACCAAAGGATGTTAAATCGACAAACAATTCACTGAAATAAAACAGTTTCACCCCCTGCCTAAAAGTGAGCAACAACTAAGCAAGGTGAAGAAACCCTAACCACTGAGCGAGGGGAAAAAGAGAGAGAGATGCTAGTAGCAGAGCCTAAAAAGACGATGGATTTTATCAAAGTATGCCTGGAAATGTCTGGGGCATCCTCACACTGCAGGTATCAAAACGAGTCACTTTCGCAACAGACAAAATCTAAATAGACAGTGAATCTGTTATAATTAATGAAACAAACAAATAAACCTGATGTTAACAACTATTATTCAACTGCTTACATACTCCTTATAACAGCAACGAGTTCCTTATGGAAGTTCCCCGCTCTTAGATGATAACAGTAGTGTATTGTCAAATCAGTTCCAATATAGTGACCCTAGAGTTTTCTAGGAAGGGAAGACTCACGTGGGGTTTACTATGTATTCCATTCTTCGAGAGGCACCCAAGAACTGTGCAGCTTGCCCAAGGGAACACAGACCGGCTCTTCTCCCAGGAGGTACAATGGAGAATCAAACCCCCAACCCCTGGCTCCACAGCCAGAGACTCAACTCATATAACTCTTAAGCTGGCCTTAAATGTAAACCTATTATGAAATCAGGGAGAGAGGGCTTTACAGGGGTAGCTGGGCTCTCTCTATGCTTCCAAAAAGGCAAGTGAAAAATATTTTATTAGGTTTTTTTGTCTTTTTCATTCGATTTTACCAGAGGGAACAACCACACAATTATTAAGGTAAATAGAATTTCATATTTTAAGACAAAAAATGTAAAAAAAATGCAAGCATAGACCTAAACATTTAGGTTTCAATACAATTTTCTCTATTAGAGAAAACATACTGTTTCAAGGTAAAGCATATACTGTACAATAATTTTCTTTTTAGTGATAACAAACTTTAGGAATTTTATGACACAGAAATCACGGAGTTTCATTTTTTAAAAAAATATGCAAATGTGAACAATGTATTTCCCCTTCTACCAACCATTTTGCACCACATTTTTATACTATCCAGTGTCCGTATTGAAATATGAGAATTAATTGCAAAGTAGTCCTGGCTAGATATAAGACATTTGTAATCAATCAACATATTCATAATGGCTATGAAGATGGAAACCTCTTTAACTAGGCGTGCTACTTTGTGCTTATTTTGTGAATAAAGGGCATGAAGTTTCAGAGTAAAGTATTAATAATGTAAAGCCCTTAGCACAGATCTGAAAATATGAATATGCCACTGTGTGGTTCAGATCTAAAGCCAAATCGTAGTACAGCACTGTACATGTACATGATGGATGCTTCAGGCTCACAGGCTTTCTTGTTCCCCTACCATGGCATACAACAAGTTCTAAAGTTACTTTTTCATTCTTGGGAAACCATGGTTTTCTATTCCATGCAAAGCCAGGAAACTTTGGTTTGCACAAAGCATAGTTTGGCCCACACCAAGATCATGCCATGAACTATGATCTTAGCATAACGGACTGACTATGTCAGGGACAAACTGCAGTCTGCTGGATAAGGATGAAGCACGAGTCTGTCAATCCTCCAAAAGCATTTTTTAATCTATATGTAATGTGTGAGGGGAAGAAAAAAGTGCACAAGCCTCCAAGAATGGGATTTTTTGGGGGGGAACTACAAATCCCATAATTCTTCATCCTAACAGGAAGAATGTTCAAAAAGAAAGCTCCCAGCTAGCTTTACGGCAAGAAAAGGAAGCTCACTAGGGTTACTATAAATCAGAATCGACTTGATGACATATAACACATAGAAGTCACATGAATGCAGTTCTAACAACTAACAATAAAACTTTGTACATCTGGAGAACTGCATTCAGCCCTCAAAACCTTATACCATAATAAATCAGTCTTTAAAATGCCACAGCACACTTTGGTAGCGGTTCCTCTCTGGAATTTAATTTACAGCCTTCTTCCTTTTCAAAGTTCTACAGCATAAATCCAGATGCAGATATTTTTAATCTGGTTCAGTATATCCTATCAAAAATATGCTTTTCTCATGTCACCATTTTTCCATCCATGCTTTAAAAATAAATAGTCATATAAAATGCAATGAGGTATCTTTCGAAAGAAAAATCTCTCCACTATTACTTGCTGGCACATTTCCATAAAAATTGCAGTGTTTGAGGTCAAATGAGTGGGTGGATTTAAATATTCTGTATATATATCATATTGCCTATGACAGGAGAAGAGAGGGAGAGAGAGATGCTACTAAATGTGGTTTTACATTATTTAGGGGGAAAATGATAAATCCTGCAGCATATTTGATATGAAAACAACTAGTTCTAATTCAAATGAATTGCTATTAGTATTGGCAGCTGCTTAGGGAAGTACTGTGGAATATTCTGTGTAGCCTAGCCACACAAACATAATCAGAGTTAGTGTTACAATGACAACCGCTTCTTCTACAGCTACTATTACTACTACAACACATACAGTGGAATCAAGAAGCAAAGTCAAGGTAGATTTCAATATTCAAGGCACTTGCTTTGGTTCAAAATGAGATGAAACTAAGTCTAAATCAGCGAGACATAATGGAAATTAGTCCTGTACTCTCAAGCCTTTGATGTATCTAATTTAGTGAGTCCTTGCTGCTTCCTCCACTTACAAAGAAAAATAATTCCTTTTAACTTGAAACATCACCTTCCATTTTCATGTTGTTTCATAAGAAGGAATTGAGGGAGAAAAGAGGTATTAGCCAAAGCCATTTATTTATTTAAATTTATTAAATGCATTCACATTATAGCCCACAAAATTCCCGAGCTGTTACAAACCCCAATCTTAGTGATATACACAATAAGAACAACAATTATATTTATTCTGAAACTAGTTTTAAGGAACAGTCCCACCCCCGTCCCCCCGCCGAGACATTCGTGCCAGCTACGATGCAACATCAGGAGTATATTTCAACATGTCCATCAGACAGAAGTCTTGCCCCTTATCAAAGAAAGGCAATGGCAATAAGTCTTAAAAGAAAAGAAAAAGGCCTATACAAGGCACAGCAAAATTGATTGCTAAAATATATGTCGGCCCAGCAAAACACACTTACCAGGAAACGTGCCATCTGCAGCCAACAAAGAAATAAAACATATGTCATTGCAATCAAAATAATGTCTCTTTTTTTAAAAAAAAATTGAGGGTGCTAAATTTTCAAGCAGATTTGTGTATGTTCCTTCTGATCCACATGACAATAGTATACAATCTACACTGAACTCCTATTGGTCTTCTCGGCAGAAGCTAGGAATTTGAGGGTTATCAGTGGCAGCAGAGGGAACAAATCACTCCTAGCAAAATTAAACCCTACTGTCATACAGAATATGTCTTTTGAGTTAGGATTTTTCATTCTTGCAATATGTACAAACTGTAAGGATTCACTTGTTTATTCATTTCAAAGGTTTGAAAAGATTAACTGGGGTAAGATACAGAGAAAGAGCTTTCATGCTATAATCACCGGTGGCCAAAATAGCAGCTTTCAACTTCACATAATTTCTTTGAAATTTATCCTACAAAATGAATTATATAGTCAGACCTCCTCTGAGACATGACAAAACCTTCACACAAACTCATCTTGGAGCATCCTCCTGACAGTGACGTGTTCTCCTAATCTGGACTGGCCTTACCCATTATGGCTTGTCAATAGTCACTCCTAGGCATTAAGGGCTAAAGAAGACCGGACACTTGGGCTGTGTCTTTGCTTAAGCAACAGTTTATCTGTGTTTCCTATATTTCACCCCTGGTCCTCACCTTGTTTTCTTGCTTAATCCCTCTGGTCTGAATCTGGTACAAACCTTGGTAACACAACACAATTTAAAAAACAAACAAACACACACCACTGGAAGTTGCCTATGGCTTAGTTCTGACTGTCAGGTGCTTTTAGCCCAACCGGAATCTCCGATGTTCATATGGAAAGTGAACACCAGGTTCCAATCATCACATGCTTCTTAATATTCTGCTTCCTTAAATGCATGAACACCTTTCATAGCTCAGCTCCTCTTTCTGCTTGATTGTTCTGTGAAACCCAGCTTTACGACGTGCAATTGTGAATTACTGGTTCCTTGAAGAAACTACTCCTACAACCACTTGCAGAGTTAGCTAGCCAAAGGTGTCATTAAAGTTAATAATCCTTTTAATCCGCTTCAAACTCAGACTCATCCCTGGATGAAGTAAACAAATCCAAGGTTAAAAACAAGTTAATGAGATTATTTTAGAACACAAAATCCACCTTCTCAATTATTTCCAAAGTGGAGTACATATCATGTGAATTTTAAACTCACACTTTTGCTAACAGCAATACACTATCACTTGATAAGCTACACGACTTAAGAAACAATTAAATCTGTCAGACCAAAAGAATATAAATCCATTTCACTTATGCTTCTTGATAGCCAGGTAACTCAAAAGCATTTTCAGTGCACAGAATACGCTGATGCCATTAGATGGCTTGAAATCTCTGCCTAATGAACTGTATGTTCAAATTATGCTGAATCAGTATTTCAGTCTATTCCACGGAACAAACTGATGTATAAACATAGGATTATGGCTTTACCACAAAATTAAGCAGGAAAAGATAGTCTATCTATTGTAATGATAAGCAAAGGAATACATAAAATAATTGAAAAACAGTCTTTTGCTGCAAAGCAATGTATGAATTCCACCCACCCATTTCCAAGTGTCCAGCGTTATGGACTGCGCTGGCCCATCGAAGCTTACCATGGCCACTCCTAGACAGGAAGGGCTGTAGAAGACTCTGTGTTTGGGCTGTGCTTTTTTAAAAGCATATCCAAATTAACACAAAACATGAAGAGAACTACTGTATGCTCTTGATAGTGCACTGTGCTTCTTTGCTAGTACAACCAACAGGACATTTATCAAAGTTTCAACATTTTAAAAACACAGCTCCATTTCACAAGAATATGAAACAACCTGGATCAGTACCCGGCACATACTAAAAAGATTATTTCACATTACAGTATAATGCATTTGGATACTGAGATGGAAAAGTCTTATTTTTTTTTCAGGAGACAATTAAGGCCTAATAAAATATTTGCTGCTCATTCTCTGCAGAGTGTAAGACATTTATGTAAAATCAATATTGCTGAACAGTCATAATCTGCAGCTCCTTGCTACCAAAGAGCCTTTTCCAAAATATTTGACATACTTTCTGCTCAGACAACAGAAGGCAACAATATATTCCAGAAACACAGAAGAAGAAGAAACTTTTAATTCTCTGCTTTGTGGTAGACACTCTTAGTGGCTTTATATAACTAGTGCCAGCGTGAAGCTGCCCTACCAACATGATATACTAAACAGGCCAGTTGTCAGAGATCCAACAAATCTGGGAAGCACTGCCCTCAGACAAAATAGATTAAGGTTGTCCCCCCCGCAAAAAAAAAACACCTGAAACAGTGATGGTTTTACATTATAGGTAGGTTGCAATTCCCATAAGCCCTAGCCAGCACAGCTTGCAGTGAAGAATGATGAGAATTCAATATCTGACTGGCCTAAAGGTCTCTACCTCTCTTTTAATATGGTATCCTGTAAGAGCACCCTATACATGCTTTTTAGGTTCATAAGATGCTGTTGCTGCTAAAGCAGAGAAGAGTTACAACACTACAGATACAGTATGAAAATCCTTCAGTGTGTGTGTGTGTTGGAGAGAACAGTTCTGATATATTTCTACACTATCCAGTGGTTCAGCCACGAAAGCCATTATTTTGGTGGCTTGGAACAATCATTGGGTACACCAAGCTTTCTCTGAATTAAACCACCACCATCAGCACCAGAGAGAAAAAGCATCCAGATGAGAGGGTCTTAGGTTCATGTCCTTCTTGCTGGCCATTGTGGGAAACTGGAAACTGTATTAGATGGACTGCTGGTCTGACACAACAGGGTTTTTATGTTCTTAAATCACAAATTCCCTTCTGATTCGGGATATAAGGGAACACGATGGCATGGATGCTGATTGTGCATCTTTCTAGAGGTCCACAAAGGACTACAAACTTGTGCTACTAGTCTACTAGACTCATAAGATAGCAACTAAAATGCATAATAAAGGCATACGTGAATGTGCTGCTACTGGGGTTTTTTCTAACTTAAATTTTATATAGTTCATACTATATTGTCTTATACTCTGATATTCACATTTGGGTCACAATAACCCACATTCCTATAATTTTAAGTATTTATGTGTCATCAAGTAGACAAAGAGCTGTCCAACATTTGCTAGCCCAGAGAGAAATGGTCTAACAGTAGCTAACCACGACGTGCAAGCCTTAAGCACCTAGTTATAGAAGAAAAGAGGAACCATCACATGTGGCTCCTGGGCAGGAGATATGGATGTTGCTTTGATCCCTAGTTGCTATGGCAGCAGATGTGGCACTGCTGCTTGTCCATATGGTACTCTGGCATTCAGGTGAGCATAGTGTTCACAGGGACTTGGCTCTCTGCACTGTCTCTGTTAAAAAGTGGCGTTAGCTTGGCGGATTCCAGACACTGAAAATGGCTCCCAGATATCTCAGATTATTACAAGCCTATTGTGTACTGACAAACACAGCAAATATTATAGACTTCTAAAGCGAACAAACTTCAAAATGTTCTGACTTCCAACTGCACTTTTCAAAGGATGCGCACAAACATGCGTCCAGACACACAAGCCCTAGAAATAAAATCAAGCGATCTGTAAGAGGTCAGCACACTTACCAAACCATGAGAAAGCACGAGCAGAGGTGGCTCTGTCAGCATCCAAACTGGCCATTTCAAGCTGCTGCAGCTTATCACAAACGTCTCAGGCTAAACTGCAGCAATGTTTGAAAATGTTTAGCAAGGGTTAGAGGCAATCAGGATTAAATTAAGCAAAAGCAGTGTTAGCAGAGTTATTAACATGATGCAGAGTATAATAAAGAGAATAATTAGATTCATTATATTTTATGTTTCCCCTCCATACTGCAAAATCTGATTTTCCTATACCATAATTTTCAATAAATCTCGCTGGTTGAAGTATCATTACCTACATTTACATAATGCCTGCTTACTTTTTTATAACAAGAATGTGGTTTGATATTACATTTCTTATTATGCCAGATAATATTTTGCATTTACAACAAACAGGGAAGGGGGATCCTCTGCTCTGATTAAATACATTTCAGATCCAAATAAAGTGCATTTAATCTTTAGTTAATTAAACATAAAATTGTTCAAAACCAAATAACACAGTTGCACACATTTTTCAACACAATACAGCTTCCTTATTGGTCTCAAGCTTTTCATTAAAGAAACCATCAATTTCTTGCTGTTTCACATTTGTTCATTTTTTAAAAATCGGCTCAAACCCTATGTGTTGATTCTACCACAGATCCCAACTGTATAAGGCATACAATTCATTCATTGCTGATATCCTCGTCCAACTGCACTCTCCCTGTGCACATGACCCTTGAAATTTAGGGAAGAATCACATTTGCTTTATGCAAAATAGCACTGCCGCAAACTGCAGAGATCTGCTGTAATTCACCTACACATTAGTCAGAAATAAAACTATTTGTATGTATGGAGCCCATGCGCAACAGAAGGTATATTATTACAGCCGCTTGTAATGCTGCCTCCAGGTTCAAGCATGGGAAGTAAGGTCTGAATAAGGCCATCATGTGCAAAATTCAAGAAAACATCTGATTTGGTTCTTTGCATACTGGACATTACACCCTAAGGCATTAAGAAAGCATGTGCACTGCACATGTGGGTCCAGAGCCAAAACATGTTCACCTGGCAGACTAAAGGCAGTAGTGCCGCTTCCCCTTCTACACATAAGCTTTATATACTTGAGAATCTTCTGAGTTATTGCTCCAGTTTATGCCAGTAAAAGAGGGCCAAAGTGCCAAATACCCAAGAAGCACAGATATTTAATTAATGATTTTCTTATAAAGAAAGGGAATTACATGGCTCACCTAAAATACATCTAACAAAGCCATTGCTTGTACTACTTTAACACAATCTTTTAAATGGTGCAAAACACCCTGACACTGTTACCAATTTTCATATCAACATATGAAATTCATCTAATTAAGATATAAGCAAATATTTACTGTAGGTTAAATTGTTATCAGAAATGGCATTTACCAGAGGCACTGCATGTACTACGCAAAAGACTTTGACTGTGTGGACCACAACAAACTATGGCAAGTTCTTAAAGAAATGGGAGTGCCTGACCACCTTATCTATCACCTGAGAAATCTATATGTGGGACAGTTAGAACTGGATATGGAACAACTGACTGGTTCAAAATTGGAAAGGAGTACGACAAGGCTGTATATCGTCCCCCTGTTATTTAACTTATATGCAGAATACATCAAGCGAAAGGCTAGACTGGAAGAATTCCAAGCTAGAATCAAGATTGCCGGAAGAAATATCAACAACGTCAGATATGCAGATGATACCACTCTGATGGCAGAAAGTGAGGAGGAATTAAAGAACCTCGTACTGAGGGTGAAAGAGGAGAGTGCAAAAAATGATCTGGAGCTCAACATCTAAAAACTAAGATCATGGCCACTGGTCCCATCACCTCCTGGGAAATAGAAGGGGAAGATATGGAGGCAGTGACAGATTTTACTTTCTTGGGCTCCATGATCACCGCAGATAGTGACAGCAGCCACAAAATTAAGACGCCTGCTTCTTGTGAGGAAAGCGATGACAAACCTTGACAGCATCTTAAAAAGCAGAGACATCATCTTGCCAATAAAGGTCCATATAACCAAAGCTATGGTTTTTCCAGTAGCGGTGTATGGAAGTGAGAGCTGGACCATAAAGAAGGCTGACTGCTGAAGAATTGGTGCTTTAGAATTCTGGCACTGGAGGAGACCCTTGAGAGTCCCCTGGACTGCAAAGAGAACAAACCTATCCATTTTGAAGGAAATCAACCCTGAGTGCTCACTGGAAGGACAGATCCTGAAGCTGAGGCTCCAATACTTTGGCCATCTCATGAGAAGAGAAGACTCCCTGGAAAAGACCCTGATGTTGGGAAAGTGTGAAGGCAAGAGGAGAAGGGGACAACAGAGGATGAGATAGTTGGACAGTGTCATCGAAGCAACCAACATGAATTTGACCCAACTCCAGGAGGCAGTGGAAGACAGGAGGGCCTGGTGTGCTCTGGTCCATGGGGTCACAAAGAGTCGGACACGACTTAACGACTAAACAACAACAACTGCATGTACTATTTTAATCTCACTCTAGTCAAGATAAAGTTGTATCAACACATTGGATAAGAAAAATGCAATGCAGGAAAAATCTGGGCCCCGATCCAAAACAGGCCCCAAATCCACATGCAGTGGAAGTCTGCTGCAGCTGTAAAGCCCAGATAAGCAAGTGAGGCATTTGAATGCAAGGTTTTTGTTCTGTCATGTATTCTTGTGAATAGATTTTTAGGCCTAGCAATTTTTAACTGCAGAGAGAGTTTTAGAATATATAGTCATATAACTTAAATAGTCCATTTAGAAATCTGTGTATTTCTTTGTCAAAAGGTTTGCATTACAATTAAACATTTGCAAGCTTTGATTCCTAACGGAATTAAAATCAAAGCATCCACATAAGTCTAATAATTATTTTTTTAGTTTAAAGTTGATTGAACAACATTCTTTTAAAGGCAGCTGAGGGGTTGTACTACAAATTAAAATCTACATTAGTAATGTTGTTGGTTTACGACAGACTTTATTTTATTTTATTCAAAACTTCTAGGTATACAATGAAGAATTGCAACTATACTGAAGACAAGTTGAAGAAGTCTTGGATTTTTCCAAAATAACATTTCTAGGCAGCCTAGAACTTCCTAATGTTAAATGTGAATATTCATATACATAAACATCAAAAAGTAAGGCCCTAATTTGCAATGAAAGTAAATACCTCCATATGGCTCATGTGAACATGTAATCCATGCTGGAAATTTCACAAATATAGTTATCTAAGATATATCAGAAGTCTTGGGGGCTGGGACATTGACACCACAATACACAAGGGCCTAAGTCCAACTGTGAGTCTCGATAAGAAACTGAATAAATTCACAGACTGAGGGGCAGGGGGGAATTGGTAGATCCACATTTAGTTTCATTAATTCAGTGGCTCTGTGTTGGTTTAGACAAAAACTAGACTTACACCATAAAGTCTGGCAGTAACATAATCAGATACTTCTAATTCATGCTAGACTACAGTCTCAGTTTATCAGTTAGACAAATCAAAAGCTCATGTTCTGAGGCATGTTGCAAAAGAACAAGGCTCTGAAGGAGACCTAATGACTGCTCAAGGCTACACTATATTAAGAACACATTAATGTTCACTAGATTGTCTAACACAATGACACCTGCAGTAAACTAGTTCAGTTTAGTATGTGCTCAACAAGACTTTATTTTGGAACTAATCTGAAATTTAACTATCTAATAAAATCGAATATGTGACAGTTATCCATCAATGGAGAAGGTGATTTTTACAAAACTAAACCAAACCAAATGATTAGGGGTTTTCTGCCTTAAGTCAACTGCTGGGACCATCACTGAGAGATGGCAAAGGGCATGTAGTGCAGACTCTTTTTTTCCTTTCACAAGGATCTAAAAGTCTCATCCAAGACTTGATGTGTTCCCATAGCCAAGTAATTTCCAAATGAAAAGAAGCAAGGGGCTGATGAATACATGCAACAGAATTATGCAAGTTGCTGAAGCTCAACCAACACATGCTCTGCCACTGCTTTCTCTTAGACTTTTATTAGTGATATTTATACCGGAGTCACAAGAAGAAATGAGAACAAGCAACAGCAGTGTTTGCATCTTCAGTGTCAGCCAGAGCTGTTGCCGCCTTTTCAAATGATTTGTGAAGCCGCCAGATGGATCAAGCAAGCCAAAAATAGCCACAAGCCAAGCCAGGGAAAAGGTTTTTGATGGGCCAGGAGAAGTGAAAGCAGAGTAAGAGAAAAAAAATATAAGAAGAGAAGTTGAGAGCAAAAGAAAATTGGGAAGCCAAATTGTGGGGATTGAACACAAAGATAGAAGAAAAACAGATTACAGTATGAGGGTGAGAAGAGCAGACAAAATAAGAAAGACAGAAAATAAGCTTGGGGAAAGTATACGGGTTGGGGAGAGAAGGAGGTTCAGTTTGAGAAGGTTGCTGGGTCAGGCAAAGAGCTCATCTCCTCTAATTCCCTGCCTACCACACATCAGAAATCCAGCCAAGAAGGCATCAGAGTCATGACTTCTTCACTAATATCTCACAAGGATGGGCCTCCCCTGATGTTACTGGAATACAAAACCCATCTGCTCTAGCCACTGGGGCAGATGGGACATGCAGTCCAAAAATTTTGCAAGCCCAAACATTCCTCACCTCTTTCCAGGCTGAGCTGGAAGCTTCCAAGCCCGACAGAATGAAACCTCCCTGATCATAATGGTTATACCTACGAAAGCAAATATTGGGGGGAAGTAATTTAACTCTGGGATGTGGGTGGCGCTGCGGGTTAAAACCGCAGAAGCCTCTGTGCTGCAAGGTCAGAAGACCAGTCGTCATAAAATCGAATCCTTGCGACGGAGTGAGCGCCCATCACTTTGTCCCAGATCCTGACAAACTAGCCGTTCGAAAGCATGTAAAAATGCGAGTAGATAAAATAGGTACCACCTCGGTGGGAAACTCATGGCGTTCCGTGTCGAGTCGTGCTGGTCACGTGACCACAGAAATGGTCTACGGACAAATGCTGGCTCTACGGCTTGGAAATGGGGATGAGCACTGTGCCTGAGAGTCGGACACGACTGGACTAAATGTCAAGGGGAACCTTTACCTTTACCTAATTTAAATCTTAATTGGGAACTTCTGACAGAGGGCATCCCTTCTGGGCTACAACCGGGGCGCTACCCACAGACCCTCCAAGTTAGGCTTCTCTCCTGATCTCTTTCTTTTAAAGCTGAAACTGCTCCTTGTTTCCGACTGAGACTCCGAGGAGGATCCCCCAGCCAGCAAAAAGTCAGGTTTCTCAGCTGGTGGGCTAGAAATCTGAGGGACATGGCAGGGAGGGAACATGAGTGTGTGGGGGGAAAGAAAGAGAGAAGGAAGGAAATTAGGGAGGGAGGGAGGGAGAGAAGGAAAAGAAGGAAGGAAAAGGAAGGAAGGAGCTGATGAGGAACAAAAGGAAGGCAGGAATGGGGAGGAAAAGAAGGAAGAAAAAAGAGGGAAAGGAAAGAAGGAAGGAAGGAAAATAGAGAGAATGAAAAGGGGAGGGAAGAAAATGTAAGAAAGAGGGAAGGAAAGAAAGGGAAAGTAAGACGTTAAGAAAGAAAGAAAGAAAGAAAGAAAGAAAGAAAGAAAGAAAGAAAGAAAAGAAAAGAAAAGAAAAGAAAAAGGAAAAAAAAGCAAGCAAGCGAAACCCCAGAGAGGCCAAGACCATCGACCTTCCTCTGAGGAGAGAGCAGGCCGGCCAGCTCGGGGGTCCCGAGGCGAGGCAGGGCGAGAAGGAGGAGGAGGAGCGGCGGGGCCCCCGCCCCGAGTCCCCGGCCGGCCTGAGGGCCCCTCTCGCCCTCCTTCCCCTCAGGCGAGGCCGAAGAAGGAGGGAGGGAAGGAAGGAAGCGCAAGCCGCCGGGTTTTTTCCCCGGAGGGGCGAAGGGAGGTCAGACCTGAGCGCTTGGCGCGGGCCCTCAGCTCCAGCATTTTCCAGCTCACGTCGGCCAAAGTGGACGCCATCGCGGCCGGAGGGGGAGGAAGAGGAGGAGGAGGCGCGAGAGAGGAAGGCCGAGGAAGGTCGGCCGGGCGAGCCCCGCTCTCGTCTGAGGGGGAAGCCTCGGGACCCTCTTCCTCCCCCTCCCCACCCACCTGGCGCAGCTCACGACGGTTGGCCGTCGCTAGGCCCGGCCGTCAAGCGCGCCCCGGCGACGGCCACCCCGGGGCCCTGAGGGAGGCGCGACGCTGCTGCCGTAAAGCGAACCCGGAAGTCGGGCGAGAGGCAGCAGAGGGAGGCGGCGCCGGCGGCGGCTGAGGGGAGCCTTCCTCCTCCGCCTCCTCCTCCTCCTCCTCCTGAGCGGGGCTCGTAAGGGATGCGGTTGGCCTCGGCCGCGGCCAGGACCCCCGTTGCCGTCGCCGCGGCGGCTCTCGGTGCCGTGAGGGGTAGCCCCGCGCCATGGGCCGCCTTTCCTTGCCTCTCCTCCTGGCCCCCCTCCTGCTGAGGCTGGGCTGGGCCCTCCAGAACGTCACCCCTCAGCTGTTCGGGGCCCAGGCCTTCGGGACGCTGGCCGCCTTCGGGGACTTCAACTCCGACAAGCAGACGGACCTCTTCGTGCTGAGGGGAGGTAAGGGGGTGGGAGGGGAGAGGGGCTGAAGGGAAGCTGGGCGGAGGCGGTGGTGATGACAGAAGAGTCCCTCTGGGATAGGATGGGCTTTCCACAGCCGTGTCCGGGCCCTCCAGCCAATTCCGACTTGTGGCCACCCTTTCTAGGGTTTTCCAGGCAGAGAAGGATCAGAACTGGTTTCCCCTTCCCTTCTTCTGGGAGTCTGCCGCTTGCCCAAGGCTACCCAGGCTGGCTCTTCTCCCGGGAGGCCCAGAGAGGAATCGAACTCCAAACCTCTAGCTCCACAGTCAGATATCCAAACTGCTGAACTATCCAGCGGTTCATAATAGTCTTAGAACTACAGAGCTGGAAGGGGGACCCTCTGGATCACTGAGCTCAGCCCCTCTCAAGGAGGCATCGTGGGGAATCAAACTCCCAACCTCTGGCGCCACAGACCTCAGTCTAACTCACTGAGTCATCCAGCAGTTACTCAGAAGTGGTTTCCCCTTCCCTTCTTCTGGGACTGCGCAGCTGGCCCAAGGCCACCCAGGCTGGCTCTTCTCCCTAGAGGCCCCGTGGGGGAATTGAACTCCCAACCTCACGTTTGGCAGCCGGAGAACTAAACCACTGAACTATCCAGCGGTTCATAATAATAACAATCTTAGAACAGAAAGGGACCCTCTGGGTCATCAAGTTCAAAGATTATTATCCTAGCCTTTATTAAATCATTTATTCCTTGACCTTTCACGGTGGGATATTAAAGCTTGTCTGCATGAGTTTGTATGAAAAGCAGGTCATTTCGGGGAGAAAGAAGACTACTTTCTGAGAAAGGATGACTTTACCTAACTAAAAAAAAATTAGGCAAACTGGGGGGAGGGGATTTGCGGGTTACTTGGCTATTATAAAAGAGGATCAAAAGTTGAAAGAGGTTGGGAATAACTAGTCTAGCGAGAGTGCCGGATTGCAAAGCACTTACCAAATTATATGTGTGATCTTTCAGAAATTATCCTGTTGTGCACATAATCTTGAATTAGACTGTCCAAGTAGCAGCAGCACTTCTATTTTTTTTTCTGAATTAATTTCAGCTCTTTTTGCTGCAGTCTGCCCTTCACAGTTATCAGATCATGATTTGTTACTTTTATTGCCTCCTTAAGGATCAGATGGAAATGAATCATGAGAGCTAGGTGTCACCTACAAAAGATTGGTTCCACAACCAAGTTCCTAGATGATGCTGCCTACTAGTCTTAGGTAGACATTGAATAGCATGGAAGGAAAGACCAAACTACATGGAAATTTAAACTATATAATCTGTCTTCTGTAATATTATCTGATCATATTTTGTTAGATTGAACTCATCTCTCTCTTTTTTTTTGTTTCAGATAGTGAATTAAATATTTTCCTGGCAGATCAAAAAGAGCCCTATTTTAAACCCAAAGTCAAGTTACTGTTAACGTAAGTATCTTTTTATAATGCATTGGGGTCCTGCTGTTAGTTTTAATTGATTTTATTGGTCAACTTGTGCCTAAAAGCTGTGTCTTGCAGATATGCATGTTGCTGAAAATGGTAGCTGGTGAGGACTAAAAGTATCACATTACATTCAGAATTTAGAGTGCAGTCTTGAGAGGTTTTGTTCTGGGATTGGGTTTCTATTCTCACTTATATCGGGGTTTTAATTAAATTAGCCATATAGCAGCTGGAATTGGGCATGCATTTATATGCATGTAGTAGCTGCCAGAGCTTCTTTTATATCACTTATTTCGTTTTCAACAAGATGAAAAGCAAGTTGGTGTTACCCTTAAAAATTGAGGTATAAAAGTACTAAAGACAGAACAATAACAGTATTCTGGCTGGATAGCTCAGTGAGTTAGGTATCTGGCTGTGGAGTCAGAGGTTGGGAGTTCAGTTCCTCGCTGTAATTCCTGTGTGGCCTTGGGCAAGCTGCACAGGTCCAGGGCACCCCCAGAAGAAGGGAATGATAAACTACTTCTGAGTACTCTCTACCTAGAAACCACCCAAAAGGGTTGACAGTACACAGTTCCTGAAGGTAGAATAAGAACAAAATGGGAGCAAAAAACAATTGTTTAAAATAAATTATTGGTCTCGAGAAAAATAAATGCAGCTGTAGGGTTCATGTAGGCCAAAATCCTGTTGCTTAGTTTGGAAATTGCACTAGAATAGGCCTATTGAATACTGGAGATTTAGTGAATCTTATCCTCTGTAGGTCCCATTGAATCAAATGGCCTACTCTGATTGCAAATTACTGTGTTAAAGTAAGTCACAAGTAGTGTAGGCCTGTTAGAATTGATGGAACTTTTGGAGGAGTTTACCCACCAAATCTCCATTGAATAGTGTGATTTACTACACCAGGCTGCAAGATTTTGGCCACTGGCTTAGCAATAAAAGTTTACAGTGTATTTACAGTTAGCACCTACACTTTCAGCTTTAAGTCTACACTGGATAGAAGCAAATTTATTAAAAGTAGAGAAGGTCTGAACAGGAAGGATGATTTCATCTTCAGGTTTTATCCTGCATGGAGAGCAGGATACAAAGTAATGCCGCAGTTACAGATACTCTGTAATGTCACTTCATTCATGTAACCATTTTTTCCCAATTAATTTTAGAAATGTTGTGATAACCAGCGTGGTCCCTGGTGATTATGATGGTGATTCTCAAATGGATGTCCTTCTGACAACTCGTCCACAAAAGCAACCCAGTGCTGACTTAACTGTTTTGATCTTTTGGGGAAAAAATCAAACATTAGGTAGGCCTCACTGATCTTTTAAAGAAAAAAAGAAAGAAAGAAATTAAGATGGCTAGCTATAGCCTTGTTTGTCTGTATGTGTGTTGGGATTCGGTTATTGGATCATTCCTCCTCCTGCTCTTCTTGATTTCCATCCGTTCAAACGCCCACAAGGGCACAGAGGCTAACAATACCGAGCTAAGTAGCCAAATGATCTGGCTTAGTATAATACATTCAGGTCCCTTAACCCATGATTCCCCACCCTCCACTTTTCCTGGATGAAGATGCGAATGCAGTCCTATGTATGTTGAAATATACACAGGTACCTTGTCTGTACATGGGGCATTTGAAAGTGCAGCAGCAGGGGAACGGGGAGATCAGCAAGCATCACTCCATTCCCACTCCCAACGCATGCGTTCGTTTAGTTCTATACAGTGGAACTTGCAGACAGGGCTAGGATGTGGTGCAATAATGTGTTGCCTGTTTACTTTTCCCTTTGCAATTATGAGGTGGCTTTATGGATTGCCAGGGCAAACTGAGAATGGATCAGTAGCACACACACCTTGAGATTGAGCCGCAAGCTGAAATGTGGTTCAGATCTTTCCCTTCTGTGTTCTCAGTGGATTGGCCTGGGCAAGAAGCTATATCTCCCATTTATTTTGCTCTGTGATATCTTAATATCTTACAGAGTTCACACAGAGATTACAGATAATGGTTTGAGAAGGTGATTTATAAACCTTACGTGTGCAATCTGTAGAAGACTAGATACTTTTAGGCCTCTTTAGTGAAAGAACTGAGTGTGAACTTCAGCATTTTCTAATAAAATCAACTGAAGGTTAAAGTTCTTAACTTTGAATGTGCCAATATTGCAATGATTAATGGATCAAAGCTGTCCATCTGTCACATCTTGGAATTTCTCTTCCTTTTTTGACATGAAGGAAAATCAAGTGGATGTTTTAATATCGTGCTGAATTTTTATGTGGCTATTTGTTTTTTTATTTGATTTATTTAATGTAGTTGGTTTTGAAACTGTAGTAGTAATAAAACTCAAAGAACTGTAAGAAGTAAAAAACGAATGCTTGAAATATATTTGTGTCATGTGACATCAAGCAACTTCTGACTTCTACTCCAATATTATTTTTTGCTGATCAAGGTGTGGTTTACCACTGCCATCCCTCCCTAGCAGGTTTCCATAGCTTGAGTTGGGATTTGAACACAGGTCTTCTGATCCTTCGCCCACACCATACCAATTCTCCTTGAAATACCTATAGATAAACAAGAAAAAGAATACCTCCTAATATGTGGAGTTTAACCATTCCTAACTTACTTTGTTTTTAGATATAAATCATAAACTTGTATTAAACCGGACATTTCATGATGAGCCGCTAATTATGGAGTAAGTACATATATATTTCTTGTTATGGGAAGGGTTCCTAATTGTACATTAGAACAAAACAATCTAGGAGCCGTGCTCGTTTAAAATGTTTATCTTCAAAAGACATTCCTATCTGTGGTTAATCCCGTGTTTAAAAAGATAATAATAATTAGCACTTTAAATCTTACCGTGTGAATTAGTCTACTTCATATGCTGATATATTGACAGCGCTGCTTCACTGACATTTTTCTGTTACTTTTGTGGTGCAGTTTCAATGGAGACTTAGTTCCTGATGTGTTTGGAGTTACAAATGAAACGGATAAACCACAAGTACTCCTTGGCAAGTAGGTAGAACCCATGTTGTTTGAGAACGTGCATCGTTACGTTATAAGGGCTTATGCTACAATATTGCTGTCATAAATCCTACTGCTGTCAAGAGAATGTTCACGTAGAAGAGCTGCACTATGTATTGTGTATTGGTGGCAGGATGGAAAAAACCTAGAATGTGGATTATTATCACTAGGCAGATATTAATATTCAAAATGACAAAGGCAGGTTGGAAAAGACTGGGAATAGATAGTGGCCTCTTTCCCATTTTCCTGTCTTTGATTCCAATTTCTTCTTCCCCTTGTTCAATTGAATAATGGTTTTGGCATTTTATGAGCAATGGATGCTCATCACATGTAGAACTACCCTGCTTAATGAAGAGCCCTGTAGGGTCGAAAGCTAGGCTATGTTGGTGGGGCGGGTTTTTTTAGAGGTCTAGTAGATATCACCCACTCTCGACTTCATATTGTGTATCAGGAGTACATTAACCAGTGTGCATTGAGACTGTAACATTAACCATGATTACCCTGTTTCCCTGAAAATAAGACCTGACCTGAAAATAAGCCCTAGTAGGATTTTTCCAGATGCTCGTCATATAAACCCTAACCCAAGAATAAGTCTCAGTTAAGTGAAACCCCGCCCTCCACCCTTGTGTGGCAACTAGGAGAAGATGACGTGACTGTATTTGAATCAATGTACATGAAAACAAAAAAACATCCCCTGAGAATAAGCCCTAATGCGTTTTTTTTGGTTTTTTTTTGAGCAAAAATTAATATAAGACCCTGTCTTCTTTTTGGGGAAACACAGTAAGATTACACAGATACATGAAAAATGGCCTTGTCTGTGGTGGCACCTTCGTTGTGAAGCGCTCCTGCTTCGGAGGCCGGATGGCAGTGATGTTGAGTTCCACCTCGCCACCAAGTTGAAATCTGTCTGTCTACCACAGCCTTTGGGGTTTAAAGCTCTTGGCTTGCAGGAATTGTGAAGTCTGTTATTCTTCTACAGTGTTAGGTGGTTTTAAATTGCTTAAGTTGTTTTTCTGTGTTTCATTGTTTTCAGTATTCAAATTGTTATTCATTAGTTTATTAGTTTTATTAGATATTTGATGCTGTTTTAAATGGTGTGTGTTTGTTTAATTTGTATACTGCAAAAAGCCTTTGGGATTTAAAGCTCTTGGCTTGCAGGAGTTGTGGAGTCTGTCATAATTCTACAGTGTTAGGTGGTTTTAAATTGCTTAAATTGTTTTTCTGTGTTTCATTGTTTTCAGTATTCAAATTGTTGTTCATTAGTTTATTAGTTTTATTAGATATTTGATGCTGTTTTAAATGGTGTGTGTTTGTTTAATTTGTATACTGCACATCTGGCCAAGGGCCACTCTGGGCGGTTCACCGCAGAAAATAGCAATAGACAACAATCCTGATAAAACAACCTTAAATTGTGTTAACACACATTTCAAAGTGATAAAAGCAATATAAATTGAACATTCTAACTTAAATACAATACAACAAAACATTTAGAACCCTCCCTGAGGTTATAATCTCTTCCACGGCCGTCACACACTCTTTCCTTCCACACCTCCACCCCATGAGATCTCACGCCAGTGACTCACTTGTCCTTCAGGATCATGCCACTCCCCCTACACACACATTCTCCCTCTCTTTCACACACACACACTCTCCTACAGGCACACACTCCTGTGCGTTCCCTCCTAGATTTTCCCTTCCTCTTCTTCTCAGCCTTCCACATTGCAGATAATTTCCTCCCTATCTATGATTCTCTGGCCCCTTCCTTTAATTGCTGTATTTACCGATCAGTGCTGATGAAGAGTTTTATCCCATCATCACTTCCTTCCTTCCTTTCTTTCTTTCTTTCTTTCTTTCTTTCTTTCTTTCTTTCTTTCTTTCTTTCTTTCTTTCTTTCTTTCTTTCTTTCTTTCTTTCTTTCTCTCTCTCTGATAATTTCCTCCCTATCTCTTATATGATTCTCTGGCCCCTTCCTTTAAATGCTGTATTTACCGATCAGTGCTGATGAAGGGTTTTATCCTATCATCACTTCCTTTCTTTCTTTCTCTCTCTCTCTCCTTTCAAATGGCTAGGAGCTTTACCCAGCCAAAGTACAGCTGTCCACTGTGCTCCCTTCTAAATAATGAAACTGTATGGGCCCCAGAGATACTCTGGGGAGCAAAGGTTTGGAGGGGGCAGGAAGCCATCCCCTTTGTTCTGAAGCATTTCCAGTTGCTCATTTTTTAAAAAAATCAATAGATATGCCCGGGTCTAACATGACTCAGCTTTTTGCTTCCCTACGAGACTGTGGTAGCAACCACTGCCCCAGGAGCCAGATCGAATACGGTGATGGTTTCCAAATACATATAAGTTTAGTGAAACATTACAGCAAGACAAGTATGAGAAGCGCACCAGCTTGCAATTCTCAGCAGTAAGCCTGCATCTCTTACAAAGTTTAGTTCTTCCCTAACAGAACATCAGGAGTTACAAAAACGTATCAAGAAATTTCCATGAGATCATCTCAGTAGAACTCTGCTTTTCACTTGAATTTCTTTGGTAGGTTGCAGGAGTTTTGTCTCATGTGAAACACGGCTCATCCCTGAGTCTTTTAATAGGATATATATGAATATCAAGTTATTTTATGACTGTTGCCCAGTTAAAGAAATCTTGGTAAATAATCATGGCTAAGGATTAGTTGCTTTAACCTTTGTCTGTGCATCAAATTAACATTTCTGAAATATGACCGTTTTAAGCGGCTTCTTACCAACACCAGGGAAGTGCGTTTTGAAATGGAGCTTGCCATCTGCCTTTCTGTAAACACTTTCATTAGAAATGATGCTTTGAGAACAACCTGTGAATTGTGGCCCACTCTTAAGTCAACTAAATTGCTGTTGATGAATCTTAATCTAGTTAATCAACCAAATATTGCAGCCTCATTGGTGGCAAAAACATATGTGAACACGGATAGCACCAGGGGGTAGATAGCCTGCACCATGGAGGAGATCCAGATGCTGCAGGTTTGTTTTATATGATGAGTGGCCATGCTTACCAAGAGAAAGGAAATGGTTTGTTGTGAAATGTTTTGCTCTGCCCTGGGGCTTTTTCCAATTGTGGCAAGAGAAGCACATTAGACCTAGGGAAGTCAATGAGATTATTTCACTGTTTCCATAGAAACAGTACATCAGTTTTTCTAACTTGCAGCCCCTAGGCACTTAAATCTTTTAATTATGGAAACCTGTTTGTATCCTTCATAACTAAGAGCACCATCCTCAAATAAAAAGGTAAAAGGTTCCCTCATTTAGGTAAATTATCTGGTAATTCACGATACCTATACTTAAAGAGCGAGATTACTGTCATTTTGCTCTTATTAAGAAGCGATGTCTTAGAAAAATGTTGGTGTCACTATGGACAAGGGCAGTTATTTTTGTATTTGTAAGAATAGAGCAATGTTTTGATTTTCAAATCATTTCAAGAGTCTAGAGTGGGGGGGGATCTTCTCCCCTTCTGATAGAGAATGGAGTTTTTCTGTAGTTTCTTGGCCATTAATCTCTTTCATTTTTATCAAGATGACTTCCATCTAAAATCCGTGACTTGCGGAACAAAGCCTGCATATTCCTCAAGGGTGTGTGTGATAGCGACTGTAACCTTGAAATGATTACTGTATGTTGGAACATTTTTTTAAAATCAGTTTTTGAACCCAAAACAGGGAGGGGTATTTCCTTGTGTTCTCTTTCCTCCGCTCTCTCTGCCGCCACTCCCCACTCAACACGCTAGGTGGGCATATTTATCCTGGAAGATAATGTTGTTCAAAAGGTAGTTGAATGTTACAAAACAGATTATACAAAACTCCTTGCAGAGTAGAAAAAGCAGGGATACGCTTTATTTCCTTGCAACTCAGTATTCAGTTTTCAATGGATCAAATGTTCAGGCGGGACTTCTGTAGAGATCACAGCAGACTTACGTAGCATGGTGTCTTTATCCGTTCAGAAATGGAAAACGTGTGTATGACGTAGGTTAAGATATTTGAAGCCCATACTCGAATTAGCAGTGCATGCAAAGGCCCAAGTAATTGAGATAATTAATATAAGCAGGTCTTCATTGGAGGCATGAAACCAGCTCCTCTAAGAGGGGGGCAAGTTCTCCCACTGCTTTTTTGCCAGCTCCCTGTGGGCTAATGAATATTTTTGTTTCCCACCCAGTGACTTCTGCTTGCTTATTTTCTGGACTTCCCTCTCCTGGCAGCCCTCTTGGTTTTCCAGCCTGGCAGGGAGGTGGTCTACTTACTGGGCTCTATCCCTCCACTGTCATGCTGCTCGCTGACCTGCAGTGTCCTCTCTGCCTCCCACCTGGGGGATTAAATACCAACCAGGGTTGTTATGTTGTGTTGGGGGAAAGGAGGGGGCACACCAAAGGATTTGCACAGGGCACTACGTGGCCTCCTTCCAACAGGAAAGGGGGATCATGTGGTCCTTGAGATGTCACTGGTGCTGCTGCTCCTCCCATCAGCTCCAACCTGCATAGCTAGAGGCGAGGGCTCGTAGGAGATGTAGTTCAGCAGCATCTGGCTGGCTGCATGATCTCTGCCCCCATCCCAGAGGGTCTCCAGGAGAGTTTGTTCAATCAGAGAGTCAAGGTTCTTCTATTAGTAAATGTTGTCCTTTCCTACCTTTCCATCGGGTTCTTTCTGAGATTTCAATGTGTTTCTTCCCTTTATTCAGCAATGTAACTCAGGCTGAGAGAGAGAGTTAAAAGCATGCTTTGTCGCTGAGCAGGAATTTTAACCCACATTTCCCTAATGTCAGTATAACATCAGTGGACCACCCTCTTCTTCCACCCCCTGGATGAGATTGTCTGCCCCTCTGGAATAAAGTGAACAGGTCATCATTGGCCTGAGGCTGTAGGGGCTGGCTAATTTAAAATGAATAAATCAGTAGAAAAAAATCAAAATTCCTTTGATTTCCTATCATAGAAGAGCAGTCTGCTGGGGTTTCAATGCTGTGTTTTTAAAACAAGTCATTCACTTACACTTTTGGACTCAGAACGAGCTGTTGCTTAAATGTTATGACAGGATGCACTGGGGGAGGTGAAACTTAAATTCTGAGGCATGAAATGGGCATCAGGTTAAGTTCCAAGAAGGACTTTTAAGGAATCAGTATCTTAAGCCCAGATCTTCTTAAAGAATGCTTAATCGTTGAATGAGCTGGTCAAAGTTCAGAACAGGCAGTTGGCAATACGAATTAAATATGTTTTAGCAACTCTTTGGAAGAGAACCGGGGGAAATCTCTATATTTTCCCCCTGGCAACCGACTTAGAGAGCTTTCTTACAGGCTTTCTTTTGCACCCTGTCTCTGAATATTTTCTTTTAGCTCACTTGGTTATATAGCTGTCCCTCTATAAATGTTATGGCTTCTGAGGTGAGTGGAAAAGGGCTACCCAGTTACTCACAAATTTTGCCACTCCTGATTAAAGCATGACATGAAAAGACAGCCATTGTATTTTCTTGGCTGGCTCATTCTTCCACTAAAGTCTGAACCATCTAAAAACAACCTAAGACTCATAAATGTAAAAGTGAACAAATGTAGTGTAAGTTTTTCAGCACACAATCATTATCTAAGTAGAAAGGTATATAGGTGTGAAAAAATAAACAAATCCACTGATTCACACCCTTTTATTGGCATAGGGATGCAAAATAAATGATGCGTACATGACTGAATATTTTTGCAGCTCACTTCTATTTTATTTCTTAGGTCTCTCTCATGGCAACCAGCACTGGACGCACAAAACAAAATGTATAAACCCCACTCTCATGCATTCATAGATCTGAGTAATGATTTCACTGCAGGTAAATCCATAGTTTTGATATTCTTTTAAACTTCATCTCGCTGTCGTATGAATAAACAAGAGTACCGAGTCTTAAACAGCTTATGTATGGGTTGCAGTTTTCTTAGGCTGGACATTATATATCGTAACACAGTATTTTCCTTAGAAATGTTAGAATTAGAGATGGTCATGAACTTCCAAACGGGCATTTTGTCTTTGGACGAACAAGTGTTCCTCCGGGGAGCTCAAGCTACTAGAAGTATCTGTCTTTCTTCCTGTGTTGTCATCAGAACAACCCTGTGATCCAGGTCGGCTTGAGAGGGTGTGACTGGCCCAAGGTCACCTGCTGAGTTTTGTGGCCGAGGGGGAATTTGGACACAGGACTCATGGGTTCTGGTCCAGAACTCTGACTGTCCCATCACCCTGGCCCTAAGGCAGGGGTGGGCAATTAATTTCTATAGGGAGGGCTACATGAAAAATCTGAGCTGTGTTTGGGGGCCGAACCAATTTTACTTACAAATAAAATGAAACAGTGATGTCATGATTGTTTTTATTCTAAACTTGTTAATCTTCACAAACACTAAAGAGTTTTTTTGTGGTATGTTAAAGATAAGTAACTGATCAACTTTAGGCAAAAAGCTATAAATGGTTTTGATGTTCAGAACTGTCCGCGGGCTGGACAGGAGCGGCTCACAGGCCATATGTGGCCCTCGGGCCGCATTTTGCCCAGATCTGCCCTAAGGAGTGTTCCCTGGCATCTTGATTGAAAGGCTACAGGGTGAGACAAGAGCTTACTGGATAATCTTTACTGGGTCCTGTGTGACCAGCTGTACACTCCCTTCCAGTGTTTTAACTGCGGGCCTAACAAAGGCCATCCTTTTAACTGCTGTTTTTGATACCAAGTAAAAAGACCTTCAATCTTCCAGCTTAAAAAACCTGTTCCTTTGTTTCACATTTTCCTTTATTGTCTTTTTCTGTTTTTGCATGTGAACTTTATCCTCTGAAGGGCCTAGAGAGCTTTGATTGTTAGAGTGGCAAAAGAATGCTATAAATAGGTGTAAATAAGTTCCTTAAACCTATCTGTCCTTGGATGTAGTTGTGTTGTAACAGTGAGGTGGAAAGCGTAATCCAGAATCTTCAACACATAGGTTGGGGAGGGATTTGAAGCAAATAAGAAATGTTTTTAGCATTAAAAATAACTTTGGAGGTATACACAAAGATAAAACAGGAAAGATTCACGTCCAGCATGTAGAGAAGGCGCTATGTTTATTTCTACGACAGATGTAGCAGAAGAGTGGAGCCAGCTAAACTATTTTTTGATGGTTGTATCGCTCTAGACAGCTTAACAGATTTAAAGTGTGTTTGAAAAGGGGGAGCAAATCATCTCTTCCTGCCGGAACGGCTCTGTGTCAGTTTTGGTTTAAACCTAATCTATTTTCAAACTACTGCTGTGTTAACCCTTCCCGAAGGGAAGGTGGCGTTCCAAGATTCAAAAAACTCAGGGAGTAGCTCCGTGTAGCCAAAGATTTTGGCACTTAGATCTGTTCTGCCGTAGAGTTTCAAAACCAGCTTGTAAAGTAGCTTTGGGACCAAGGTCATTTTGTATTCTAAGAGTGCTATAATCCCACTAAGTACGCTAAAACACTTGAGTGTTTCTTTTTTTAAAAAGTTCTCTATGTTCTGGCCGTTTTCTTTTTTCTAATGTGTTGTGCCTTCGTTCCATTTGTACCTCTCTTTCCCATCATATGGGAAATATGTTATTGGAACTAAGCCAGTGTTTCAGAACCCTTAATACTTATTGAATTTTTTTAAAAAAAAATATTTGTATACTTAATGTTTCAGAACCCTTAATACTTGTTGAATTCTTTTTTAAAAATTATTTGTATACTTATAATTTTTAACTTCTGGATATTGTCCTTTTAATAGTTTTTAACTTCTGGATATTGTCCTTTTAATGATGTAAGCCTCCTTGGGTCCTTTGAAGGAGAAAGGCTGGATAAAAAATATTTTAAATACATTTGTAACTAAAATAGATCACATTTTCTCCTGTCTGATCATTGCTATCATTCCTCTTCCATCTCTCTGTTAATTGCCTTTGCATCTGCTTTTAAGATTGCTCTTACTCTTCATAAATTATGACATACGTGTTGTTTTTGTCATGTGCCGTCAAGCTGCTTCTGGCCTTAATGGGGGATGTGAAATGTTCATAAAATGGTTTGCCATTGGCACCCACACTCAATTTTTCATGGCTGAGCAGTGATTTGACTTTGAGACCTAGGCCGGCACTCCAATCAGAACACCACGCTGGCTCTCGGTGGCATATACACAAATAAAAATAAGAATGGGAGTTTATGTAAGAGTTCTAGAAGAGTGGTTCTCAACTTTTGCTAGCTTATGTCAGAGAAGTGTGTGGCTTAGCAGGACAGAAGCAAAAGCTTCAGTTTTTCCTAGAAGGACATTTATATCTGTGCAAGTTGTTGTATTTGCCACTTACTATGGGTTGAGGAACCTGGGGAGGGGAAGATGAAGTCTGGAATAAGTGTCTGGAATAAGTACCAGTTGTTGCCACATGACGATTCGTGACAGTCCCAGCCAGCCAGCAAACCCCACAATAAGGGATACTGGAAGTTGTCATTGCACAAGCACTCTATTCTAGACAGTTCTAATAACACTAACGATTATGATGATGATGATTTATAATAGCAAAGAACTGCTGAGCCCAAATTCCGTCCGCCCTGTACATTTACAGGGAATCTCATGAAGAATTGTGTGTTTGCATTCCAGAAATGGATACTGCTAGAAATTGGGCCAAATCCTGATGCTACTTTGTCTTTGGTTAACAGCGTATGAGCTCTCGCTGTCTTAAAAATACATGCATCGACTGGAGCAAAAACAACAACCCAAGAGCGATCTAATCTGTCTCAAGGAGCTAACAGTTTTTCTCCTGCTCTCTGGGTCCTGGGGAATCCTAATCTTGTTGCAAAAGCAGATTTATGATTTCAAGTATTATTCTTTGCCTTGAAAGCATCTTTATCAGCAGAATTAATAGCCTTGACCTGAGCCATGTGTTTTCTGTGTGCTGCTATAGTAAACTCTCAGGGTGTTATAGATGGAGTTGGAGAACATGATAAATACAAAATGTGAAAACAGCCTTGTCGAAAGACGCAGAAGAGGCTGCAGTTCAAAATAATGGTCTCTGCACAGATAGCAGCGAGGAGAACGCGACTTGATTTTTATACCGAGGAAGCTGATTGGGTTGAATGCAGCTTTAGGAGGGTGCATGTGCTTTCTTGACTTCGCTATAGTCAGTTCTCAGTCCTTCTTTAGGGAGACTGAGAATTCTCAGTATTGCAGGGGTGAGAAGCTACATTCAGCAGTGAGTTATGCCTACAATCTGTAGTTCATTCATCTCTCTCTAGGTTTTTTTTTTGTCTTACCATGTCTTTCCATGGCATTGAAGTCATTTTATTTTGTAATAGCTGTGAATTTGTTTAACAAAAAAAAGTTAAAGTAAAATCCTGTATTGAACAGATACTTTATTCAGTTTAAAATTACCCTAGATTTAGAAGTTGAATACAGTTATTATCGGGAAGAACATAAGCAGAGGTTTGTGTACCAATTCGCTGAAATGGAAATTACTGCTGTCTAAAAGAACTGGCTTATTAGACAGGGAGGTAGAGGAGTATCTACAGGTGTTGATATATTTTTTGCATTTGCTCTGTTACACTCTTTCCTTGCCTTTTGCATTGCCATTACAAATTTTGCAATTCGTAAATGTAACATAGTTAACATGGGGGGAAAACAATAAATAAACCTGTGTGGTCTTTACACAACTCAAAAAATGGGCAAGTGATCTCTTTATGAGACTACTAAAAAAAAATCAAAGAAAGAAATGCTGGCTCTCAACATGCACAGTCTTCATTGGGACCTTGTCAGGTAGGTTAGCTTGAGAGATGAGTGGCCTGGGCTCTCCCAGTGTGTGAGGATTTGAACCCAGGCCTATTTTACCCACTACAACTTGCTGATTCTTTCCATAGCAGTTCTTTGGCCAACTTCCCAAAAATCCAACCAGTTCTTCCCCACTTGGTTTGGGATATAAGCTGTGTAGTTTCCAGTGCCCATGGGGGAACGCCACTGAGAGAGTGCTCAAATGCTTACTTCCTTTCAAGTTGTGGCCTGCATACTTTAAAACCAGAATGTGATCTCTTTCTTTTTGTCAATCACTTTTGTTGAGTTATTTCTCTTGTCTTGTCATTCACTGCACAGCTTCACTTTTGGTATAGCATTAGATTCCGTGGATTACCTGCCATGCTTGCAGCATTCAAGCATCTCAGCCCCCTGCTCCTCCTTCACTTGGGTGTCCATCTTCCCACCTGTGTGAGGACCCCTGCCAGCTCTGTACGATCTGGTCTATAGAAAATCCGTAACACCTGTCTCGAACCAAAACTCACAGACTGAACGCCGATGCCAAGCAACAGAGACTTGAGTAGGGAGGAGTACGGCATTTGAGAAAGGAATTTCTATAGGTGTTTCAAAATAGCACAATGGCTTGGTTGTTCCCTTGGATTTCTATTTTCCCAGTTTCCTCGTGCGCCAACTGCAGCTTCTTGAGATTCAGTGGGATTCCAAAATGCAGTGGGTTGAGTCGAGACGGTTGTAATGAAGGCAAATAAACATGTAAATGTCACATACAATGTCTCCTGTTGGAATAAAGAGAAGCGCCGTGAGAGTCAGGAAAAGAATTAAGTGGCTGTTGGCAAAGATTTTGCTCAACAGCAGTCCATGTGAATTTCAATGTGGCTTCCCTTTCTAAGCCTCTTTCGCCGTGTGAGCATGGTGGAGGGAGAAACTAATGCGAGCTGGCTGTTTGTTCAAGAGCTGCTGGATGCTTTGTGCAATAGGTTTTGCAAGCAGGCGGGCAGAGGCGTTCCAGGAGGGGGAAAATGGCAGCTGATCTGCCCTGTGCATTGCTAATTGTCATGCAGGTAGCATCTCTCCTTACACCAGCAAAGGGAGTGCTTTATTAACTACCTCCATTCCTTCCTTTCTAGCAATAAATCCAGTACTTGGCCAGCAGTTTACAAGCCCCAGATCCAAGGCCGTTTTCCTCACAAGGCTATCAAAAGAAACAAAGAAACCATCCCTGTCCCCCCCACCCCAACAATCTGAGCAGGCAGCCTAATAACATTGCAAAAGAAGCAGCGAAATGCAAATTAAAAGCATTCTAGGGATGGGGACTGCCTGAACTCAGAAAAGGGAGCTGGAAGCTTTCATAGATACATTTCTGCCTCTCCCCTGTGCTTGTCCGTTCTTCCAGGTGCCCTGGCAATGGCCTTTCCTCTACGGGGAGACTTGGCTGGCGTCATTATTAGTATCCTTTGGACATGAAGCCAAGGGTGGCCCTCTTCCCCCAAAGTTTTAGTAGTAAGCAATATCCATTTAACATTAATGGCTTTAGTGGAACATGCAGCATTATAATTTTTATCATGTTGATTGCTATAGGTTTTTTTTAATTGGAGCTTAAAAGTTGGCTTGAAGGCACAGAGTAAAAATGGTGGAAATCTTCTAAATAAACAAATGGCAGTTCAGTAGAAGTGGGAGGCCTTCCCCATCACATGCTGCAGTTGCTTGCATTTGCCGGCTTTTAAAGACTGGATTCTCTACATTTTGATTCAGAACGGTATCCTTCTGAGTTAATGACTGAGACGTAGGCAAGGGATTGCAGCTCCAACCTCAGGGTATGAGACCGGTGTCTCTCTTGCACCAACTCTACCCATGTGCCTGATAATGGCCCAGAACTTTTCCTCTCCGTCTTATCAAGTAAGCTGCTGCTTAGTTTTTATCACCAAAGGGCAACAGGCTCAAGAGGCAGATCTCGTGGGGGGGAAGGACGGATGCTTTCTGCATAATGTTGGTATAGTACCCTCCCCAGTTATTGCTAATGGCCCAGAACTTTTCTTCTCTGTCTTATCAAGTAAGCTGGTGCTTAGTTTTTATCACCAAAAAAGGGTAGTAGGTGTTACATATACAGCACTGATGTTACCCAAGAGGCAGATCTCGTAGGGGGAAGGACGGATGCTTTCTGCATAATTATGTTGGTATAGTACCCTCCCCAGTTATTGTTGTTTTTTATGAGAATCAGATGCTCAATGCAAATGAGAAATTAATTGGTTTCCTTACAATAATGTTTAGCTTATGAAGTGTTGAACATAAAAATAATGAGTTTCTAAAGCCTGCTGATGTGGAGTGAAGTTTGTTCCGTAGCTCATGGTGAAGCGACACATTTTGTGCCCAGAATAAATGGCATTTCTGGTGCTCATTGCTAAGCTTTGAATGTGAAAATCCCAGAGGAAGAATCCCAGTTGATCTGCATAATTGGAAACATAATTTATCTGTAGAGAGCTAATTTAATACCTGTATGTTTAAATGAAAACTTCAGGGTTAAAATATAGACATAGTCAATCTTATCCATAGATGGCAGTTAGTTATGCCCAATATAATCACTTCTCAGAGCAGTGTTTAACACTTAGTGTCGTAAATCAATTGCAGTGTTTGAAAACACTGGTTTCAAGCTCTGCTTTAGAAATCTGATATAATCCATAGTCCATGTTCCTTATAAAGTGTTTTTTTACATTTATCTATAATTTTCCAGCTGTTTTTGTATTTGATTAGTTGACTAGCTTTGAAAGGCAGCTCTGCTTACAAGTGATTATTCACCCAAGGATTTTCATGAACCAGTAACCAGTGTTGCTGTTTTGGTTTAAATCATAGCATGGCCTTAAATCCACCCAACGATATGGGGGACCAACTAGGAAGTTTCTCAGCATTCCATACATAAACGAGGTGATTAGTGGCATGGGGTCTCACTATATAGTTCAGTGCTAACCATGGTTTAGCACACAGAGAACAAACCTAACTTCCCTCTCAACTTGTACTTCCAGCAAAGTCAGGAGAAAAAGGTCGTATGCTTTCCACATTTCTTCTGAATGGCCCACAGATTAGGACGTCATCTGAACCTGGAGAGACTGTGGCTAATCTTAACTCTTGGAAATTGTGATACTTGACTTAGATGTTGTGTTCTCAGATGCACTTCCAAGAGTGAACTGTATGTTTGGTTAGCTGGGCACTCTCTTGATTTGTGGCACCTAAAAGTTATGACCGGGTTTTATTCACACATGTTATTTAATAAAAGACATTTCTGTTCCTGCAGGACTATCAGGAAGGAAAACTGAATGCTTATAGATAATGGGTGCTAAAATGCAGCTGAACAGGGTTACCTTGCAGCTGTTCATGGCTGAGAATATGAGCTTGTTTCCTTGTTTTTAGTAGATTATAGTCATCATCATATTGATGGATGTTTGAAGGGGAGTGTCAGCGTCCCGTGCATGAAGTGTATGTTTGCCCGGTTAAGGGTAGCTCCAACTGTCTTGAACTCCAAAGGTGAAGCATGGATTAAGGTTAAAAGATTAAGGCAAGCCCTCTCTCATCCTAGCTTGAGCAATCCTCTTGACTAGGGTTGCCAAGTCTCAGGAGTTTTCTATTCCTGTCCCCGAGTCTCCAGGCAGACAAATATCTGGTTGAGTACTGTAGTACTATAGGAGGAGGAAGTTGTATCTGAATGCGTGTCCCAGCTTTTGTGCGATTTCCTTTCCACTCCCAACTGGTATCAAGTCTCAATGGCTCAGCACGTAATGTTTGTTTAGGAGGTGGTGTAGGAAATCCACATTTCTATCTCACACTAACCTGCAAACTCATGGATACATGTTATTTTGTAGTAATTACCCAGGAGGCCACCTCATGGCATCCCTAGGGTCTGTCCATACTTGCTTCCCAAAGATTTGCACCCAACCCACCCACTCCCCACACTCTCCAGTCCCAAGGAATGGGAAATTGCAGACCTAGCAACCTTACTTGTCATCACTTCTCTCTTGTGACTGTGAGGAGTTGCTCCATTATATCAACTTTTCTTTGGGTTGGAATGCAGTTTAGAACATGGTCTGAGCCCTAAATGGGGCTTAATGTTAACCATAGTTCATGAAAACAAGCCTATTTCATAAACTACAGTTTAAAGTTGGCTTATTTCCACTAACCGTATGCAGTAAGCAAAAGGAATAGTAACAGTTGTTGCCCTGGGAGTTATCATTCTGATTGGTGCTTCTGGTATTAAACTTAACCAATTGCCTGGGTGATAGTGGATGCAAGCTTTCTGGGTCTTTAACCAAATATATGGATAGAGCAATGACTGTCTGTTCATCAGCAATGAACTGTAACCATTGGAAGCTTTCAGTTTAATACTGGAAATAGAAGTGATATGTAGTTTAAAGTAGTATATTTTTAAACATTCTTGCTTTTCACTTAAGAGGCATCTCAGATAGATACCGCATACTTCCAAAACTGCTATACAGTACTGTATAATATTGTTTTATTTCTACTTCTCTATGACAGTTTTGTCTTAAACTTTCAGCAGGTATGTGATTTATACCAGATGTTTTACACTGCCACTTCTGAAAAAAAAATGTCATTTTCTCGTCTTCCCTGGTCCAGAATACAGAAAAGAGAACAAGCCAAGGCAGTCTCATCTTAGGAAAAAAAGAGCAGAAAGACAAAATGCATTACAGTACATGGAACATCCATGTACTGTATTTCCATAAGCACCTCTGCACTGTTAACTTAGTAAACCTTTTAGACATTTAAATTATCCTCTTTCTTATAGCTCTTTGTAGTTTGACTCTTTTTTTTAAAAAAAAATCCTCTCATTTATTCCTCCCACATACCAAACAGCTAAACACATTCTTTGTTTTATCACTAAGCTGCATGACACCGCAGCTATTGTATTGCTGGCTGGTTTTAAGAAAAACAAACCCAATCCCTATTTGTTTTCGAGATGCTTATTGTTATTCTGGTCTTGTCATTTTGTACACAGTTTCTTTAGAATAAATCTTGCTGGGTTGAGTTTTCTACTGGTTTCCACCGGCTGTATGTCTTCTTTCATAGTGCACAATTGAGAATCTTACTCGCCACCGGGCAACTGACTCACCACGCCAGCCAGAGTCACATTACCTAACCTTTTGTGAATATGCTTGGATGGTGAGATCTTTGAATGGCCCCAACTCAGCCAAATGACTGGCATGGTGATGCTTCTGTGATAGAACTGCCACCCTGAGCTAGTGCTGCCTAGTGTTACCGCCTTGAGGTTCAAGTGCCATGTTAAAATGCTTGAATGAAATGGTGATCAATTTTAAATAATAGAGGACTTTTTTCTTATTTTTTTAAGATTCTACTTGTAGTACTACCTGTTTAATGATAGTATTACAGAACCTTAAACTAGCTTCTTCTAAACCTAGATAAAACACATTTTAGAACCCCAACTTCTTTAATGTATTACCATACCAGCCCAATTCAGATATATTGAAATGTACAACAATTAAGAAGGTATTGCAATCTAAGCAAAATCAAAGGTAGGGCCTTCCCTCAATATGCACATTGGGAAATACCTGTACCATGTGCCCTTAGGTGAGCATAATAAAGGAAACTATTGCAATGACTTTATGGCTAAACTGAACCTTGTTTTTATCAACTGTGGGAAATGTAGTCTACAAAATAGTATTTTTTTTCAGTGTTTGTATCTGTCCTCAAATATGCAAGCTTTAAGAGTTGGTAGGAGCTTCTTCTTTTTTTAAAATCACTGCTGAGACACAAAGAAACCTGCGTTCAATTCAGATGTTAAATCCAGAATGAAATATATTTTTCAGTTCCACTGGGAGGTGGCGGAAATGGTCACTGGTTGCCATCTGGGATCTAAAGGAAATCCACCGTTTCCCAGGGCAGAAGCTCAAGAGTGGCTGGACCATGGTGCAATAGTTCTCTCTCTCTCTTATACCCTTTTATATTTGGCTAAAATCTACCTGGTAGAACTACCTTCTGATGCAAAATGTAATTGCTGCAAATAATGGTCTTCTGCTGACTTTTGTCTCTTGTTTCTTTACAGATTTGTTTCTTACCACTTTAGTAAATGACAACCAAATTCAGTTTGAAGTATGGGAGAATCAGGTAAGGAGACTAAATACACCTACATTCGAGAAGACAAACATTAAATATGAATATACCTTCAGGGCCTATGAAACAAGAGCTCTGATTTTAACGATGTAAAGGATGAGAACTTTAGCTTCATTGTTGCTTCCAAACTTCTGTGTCTTTGTAGAGATGATGTTTTCCTTTGGGACCCTCCCTGTGCAGGATTTTAGCATGTCTGCCAATTAAACCACCATGCCTGCCCTAATGCATACGTTAATAGGACTCCTGTTGTGATGTCGTATGTTCTATGAGATTGCCGGCGCTTAATTAGTCAGCATGATGGCTTACGAAAGGGGAGAAAAATAACACATTTTGACAAAGTGCCTCTTTCTTATTCCCTCCAGGTTTTTTTTAACAATTTAAACATGGCTTGATTTTATTTTATTTTTCATTAGAGAATTGAGGAAAGAGGCTTAGATGATTATTCAGACTTCTTTCTTGCTACTTCATCCTCCCCCCAGCCCAGTTTGGGCACTTGTGTCCAAAAAGGTTTGCGGCCACTACCCTAAACCAACGGGCATATATTGGGTCTTGGAAGCATGAAAATATGTTGTCTCCCTTGTGTTTTTATAGTTGGAGTTCCTCCACATTCACATGGGATGTTTAAGGATTGGTACAATTCAGTATTTTGACTTTTCCAATAAATTTTATCGTTCATAGGATGGCAATTTTTCCAAAGCTACACATGTAAAGGGAAAACCTAAGGATGCTGTTGTGGTTGGCCAGTCAGTGTTTGCAGATTTTGGTGAGTTTCCTGTCTCTCAGCCCAAAATGTTTGACATGTATGTGTGTGTGTGTGAATGCAGCGCCTGCATGTACAAGAAACTCTACTGGCGACTTAAGAGATGAATTTGTTATTCCATTGTGCTGTTCTGATAGAAAACCCTTCTCTACAATTTTAAGGCATTCATTTACGAGACTTTAATAGATAACATGTCTATAAACTCTAATATGTATGAGAAACATTTAAATTAATTAAAGCAGCTTATAAAAAGACTGATGAATCATGTCAACATTCTTAGTAGTTATAATTGTCAGTTCTTTTCGCTAAGCGTCAGAAAAAAGAGAATACTTAATTTATATGTAAATCTACTTATAAGCAATCTCTGGCCAGGAAAATGTATTTTTTTCCCCTGACTGCTTTGGTGGTTTAATCTAGAGCAAATTAGGCCTAGCTTCTTGCACCTCCTCAACTGATCTTCTTTTCTCCTGAGTGCTTTGGTGGTTTAATCTCTAGAGCAAATTAGGCCTAGCTTCTCGCACCTCCTCAACTGATCTTCCAGCCTCAGCAACAGTTTAGGCTTCTCTGTCCCACCCTGTTGGTTGATCTCCCGCACAAGGGAAGGGCAGAGAAGTCTGTGCTCTTGCTTGCAACTGGGAGATTTGCCGAGGAGGCGGAAAAAGCAGGCAAGCTGGGCCTGGCGAGTGGCTAGACTGGCTGAGGAGGCAGGGGAAAGGATCAGCAGCTCCTCCTGTACTGCCATCCTTACGAACTGGGATGAACCAGGTTCTGCTCATCTCTTCTCCTGGATCTAATTGCTTGCACAAATGGTAGGTAGCACTACAAACAAGTTTCCTAAGATGGTTCGCATTGTGTAATGAGACTGAGCCATATGCATAAACTGTTTGTACAGCCGTCCTTGTCTGTTGCAGACAGAGAGACAGATAAGGGCAGAATGCAAAGTTTTAAATCATCTCTAAAGATATTTTGTTTAAAATGTACACAGACTGCTTTTGGCATACTCTAGAAATTCATTTGTGCTAGTAGGATGAAACCACTGAATCTAGATCTCCGGTATTTATCCTGATACGTTTAATGTTTTGTTACGGATACCATTTTAAAAACAGGGCTACAGAAACTTGCAGTGGTTGATACCTTTCCTTAAGCAGATGCTTTAAAAATACAAAGCAGCATAATTATGCTCTTCCACTTGACCTTTAATTAAATACCATCTCTCTTGGGTGATGTTTTGGCTGATCTCTTGTGTGGATACTGAAGACATTTAACTAAGTAAACAGCAACAGAACAAAATGAAAGACAATGAAATCGGGTTTCTAAGGTTTTGCCACGATATTAATTTTAAATGTTCATTAAAATTTAAGCCAGACTCAAATGGATCGCTGTATACGTTTATCCTTTAAAATAGAATACCTATAAGGTTTAACTGGTTTTTCTGGGGATGTGGAGCAAAATAATCTAAAATCTTATTTCTCCATATTTCTTTAGTTTTACATTGTACTGATGCAGAAATCTGTTAATGAGTTTCCAAAAAAACAGATGGTATTGGAAAATGCCATGAATACTGATAAGCATAAAGTATATGTCAGATACATTTATTTTGAAAGATATAAGGAAGAGAGGTAATCTGGAATGGAATTTCATTTTATTAAGTGTTCTAGCAAACAGCAGTGGGTAATGTCACCGAAAGGTTCAGTGCAATTTTCAAAATCTGCCACATTTCAAGGAAGCAGCATGAATTAACTCAGATTCCAGAAGTGAAGAAGAGGGCAAAACACAAAGAATCCTCTAAAATGCATCGCATTTCTTTGCTATTTTGTAGTTCTCCTTTTGTGAAAGATTGTCGATCATATCTCCTTAAAGGGAGGGGTGGAAAACGCTATCAATTTCAGTCTAGGAATAAAGACAACGCTTGGGTGGGGGCTCATAAAACTTCTTTCTCCAGAAACTGTCGATGATGATGATGTGCCATCAAGTCAATTCTGACTTATGGTGACCCTTTTGAAGGTTTTGCAGGTAGAGAAGACTCAGAAGTGGCTGACCATTCTCTTCTTCCGGGGGGGGGGTGCCCTGAGACTACATGCAACTGGCCCAAGGCCACCCAGGCTAACGCTTGGATTAGTTGTGACACTTGACCTGCATAGAAAGAAAGGAGGGAAGACTCTTTAAGACATAGATATCGGTCATCCAAAGACCAGCTGGGTCCAGACAAGTAGCCTTTCCGAGCTGTGATTTAGACTGGACCATCGCTGCTCTTGTGGCTTTTCTGGACTTGTCCGTTTCCAAACTAGTTTTGAGCAGTTTCAATTTTATGGAAGTTGAAGGTGGAAGGGGAAGCCAGTTTGGTCAACAGAAAATAACAGTGAAGGAAAGTCTGCGTCAAAAGCCAGTACTTCTCCCCTCCTTAAAAACTATCCCCTCTTTTATGTGCTACAAATTCATCCCCAAATAAAATACATCTTTAATCACTATGTTGTTCGTCTGTTGCAGGAGGCCTCTTAATCAGTTTAATTTACATTTAAAACTGTTTTTAAAGCAGCAGTGCAGCATTAAGAAAAGAGAATATCTCAGACACTTCACTACAGCAGTGGACATTAATGATGATTAAATTAGAAATCTACCACTCATTTTCACTGAGCTATCTTCATAAAGGGTTTGTTTTAAGTCTGATGTCTAGAAAACATAGGCAGATCTAACTGAGAACCAGGGCTGAATAAAATCATATTTAAAAGGGGCCAGTAATTTTTCTAGAGCGGGGTTTCATTCCCCCCCCCCCAAAAAAAGGATTTGTTTTCTAGAATTGATTCTGGAAGCTCCTTTTGAAGCAGTGGGATTGTCTGTATCTCCGTTTTCTTGAGCCAGAGTTGATGCTATTCATTTGCACCTGACTCTGTAAGAGGCAGGGGGTTGGGAATCCTTTCATTTCAGTCAGCTCAATCATGTATTATTTACTTTATTTCATTTCATTCCATTTATATCCTGCCTTTTCCCAATTTAGAAACCCAAGGCAGATTCTGAAACAGGAGGAGGGAAGGAACAACAGATGTAAAATGAAAGTAGAACACTTAAAATACAAAAAAAAAATGCAACTAAATACCTCATAGTCTTGAAAGGTCATTCAACGAAAAGCCATTTAAAACAACAACAACAAAGCAGGAAAACACAGACAAACACACACCTAAAAAGAATAATTTTAAAGAAAAACACAGTATCCCTGTTAAAACTCTTTGTGTCCCCATCATCCATCAAAAGAAGAGAAAGATGATTGGGGGGAGGACAGCTGGTCACAAGGTTTAGATTAGTGCTTCCCAAACCTTTCAACATGACAGCCTCTTTCGGGTTTTTGAAAAACCCTTATGCTTCTTCCCGCCACCCCCATTGATACCCAGTGCATAGAGTGATGGACTCAGGAGTCCTTGGTTCGACTCCCCGCCCATCCATGGAAGCTCAGTGGGGTTGTGGAACTAGTAAAGTCATTCCCTAATTTTTTTTTACTCCTGTTGAAAGCCTTCTTAGCCTTGCTATAAGTCGTTTCTGACCAGACAGCACAGAACAACAATACCTTAATAACTTCCAAAGGGCTCCGTAACTACAACAACCATCCCATCGACCAACGTATTCAATTCATAATTTCCAATCCAAAATGAATCCCTCCATAAAAATGAGTTAAAGCAGCACAAATCATTTTTTTCTTGAGAAATGGTGAATTCTAGAAGTGAGATCTATCACAGAATTTGTTGAAGGGGATAAAAATATATTTTCTTTATGAAAAAATCTCACCATCTTGCATCGCTCTTGATTCTTCATCTTTCCCTTGGTTTGGACAGGAAGACAAGTGGTGAAACTGTAGGCATAATCACGTTTTGGACGGCTTGACGAATAAGCAAGACAAGAAGATGCTCTAGTCACTTCCCCCCCCCAATTTCTCATGGTCTTCTACTCATAGAACAATATCATTGTTATTTATTGTTGTTGTTGTATCAACATTAAATAGATGAGATATTCAAAAATTGTTCTAGCCTCTGCTGCAGTATGTTCATCAGTTTATAGCTTGGTAGGGCTAACAAGTCATGTTTTTATAAGCTCCGGAAAGTTGACAGAGGTGGAGAGGATGTGTTAATGTAATCCTTCTCACCTCCTGCTGGGGTATTTACGTCCCTAATTAAAAAGGACAAAGCCTTAGGAGGGTTTTATTAAATTGAAAATTAATCCAAGTAGGAGCATAAATGTTATCTCAGTGGGCGGCAAGACGGAACAGAAAGCATACCAGTGCCCGTAACAAAGGCTTTATCTGATTTGAGAGCAGGTGTCAAGAGGATAAAACCCATGACCTTGCTGTAAAGGAAATTCTCCAAATATGTAAATAATGTTCAGTCTTAAAATACCAGTTTCGTGAACATACAAAGGCAACAAAACAACCTTATCATTGTTTGAAACTTATATAAAAGGCCGTCCTTGAAATTAATAATTCGAATAACTCAAAAATGAGTTCTAACCACTCAGAATTTAGTGGCAGATTCACCGTCATCCTTTTCTTCTGAACACTGTCTTTTATTTATGCAAGGAGCTCACAAAGACAGATTGTAATTCTGGCCCAAATCATATTTGTCCTCCTGCTGAAGTAAACCCCTTGAACCAATGCAATCTATACAAGTGCTGCCTTACTGCTTGTCACTATTTGATTGACTCAATCTACTCTAGTTGGAACTAGCAATTGGGTATAGTTCTTTGCATGCAGCTCCGTGTTATCTTAGTGAGCAGGATCATACCATTTTGGACCTTCTGTTGTGCTGGGAGTTTTATACCTCAAGATGGAAATCCAGGGCAGTGACACGTTATCCAGAAGGCCAGCAAGCATGGCAGAAGTGGCTCACTGTATTTTGAACGAAGTGAGTAATACAAATGGAGATTTACTAGCCAAACAGGACATTTGCCCATCTTGTGAACTGGCATTCATGGTCATTCATGAATTTAGTACACTCCATGTAAGCCTGATAAACTGTGGAGTAAATTTATTATGTCGATGTCGCACCAAGTGTCTGATTTTTATCGGACTTGTGGCCTATATTTTGGTCGTAAGGATATTGAATTTTCTCATTTCGTTTGAGATAAAGTATAGTAAGGCTCAACTTAGGCTGTAAGCATGTTCTTTATCAGAAATATGAATGAGCTCCAGCATTGCAGAAGGGGAAAGTCCCATGTGTTTGGAGATTAACAGAGAGGCTAGATAACAGGCTGACAAGGTTAAGGATTACAATTTATCTGTTTAGTTATCTTGACATGTCCTTTGTTTACATTTTATCAAAATATACTGCCTTTCCATCTGCACGTCTTTTGGTGAATAAAAAGTACGCCTTTTTTAAACAACAACTCTCCTGCCGTTGCATTATTATTATTTTTTTTTAATCTTCCTCTTGTTTTGCCAGATGGTGACGGACAGACTGAGCATCTGCTGCCAGCATGTGCTGATGAAGCTTGTCAGAAGAGTGTCATCTACCTATCTAAACCGGGAGCAGATCAAGCGGATCAGGTGGGTTTCGCCTCTCTTTGCACAGAGGAAATACGATTAGCTTGATATGTTCGAGGATCGAAATTGCAGATTCTTCCCTCACCCACAGCCCTAGATTCAGCTCCGGGCTTCGGCACCCAGGTCTCGTGGGAGCTGGGCAGACATTTACAGCTACAGCCTTTGCCAGGGATGTCTGGTCATGATGACCTCATCATCATCATCAACTTCATCATCATCTTAGAACTGCTATTGCTGGAAGGAACCCTGTGGGTCATTGAGTCCAACCCTTGTCAAGGAGGCCCAGTGGGGGAATCGAACTCCCAACCTCTGGCTCCACAGCCAGAAGCCTAAAACATTGAGCTACTCGTCACGTGCCGTAGTGATGACCCATTTGGATTACCGTAGTGGGCCCTACATGGGTCTGCCTTTGGAAGCTGTTTGGAAACATCAAATTCAGGATATCACGGGCAGATGGCTAACAAAGGCTGTGGTTGTAGTGAGGACCCATTTGGATTACCGTAGCGGGCCCTACATGGGTCTGCCTTTGGAAGTTGTTTGGAAACATCATCAAGTTCAGGATCCCACGGGCAGATGGCTAACAAAGGCTGTGGTTGTCAGACTAGAAAACAGCTCCTACAGCTACCCAACTTCTCGGCAAAACTTGCAGGTCACACAACTATTGTGCGGCTCTAGATATTTACATGGACTTCTTTGCTAGGGGCGGTTTGCCACTGAGACCAGTAGTGATGGAGTTACACTCGTGAGCGTAAGTAACAGGAAGTCTGGTCTACTCTACGGCACTCTTTGGAGATTGGCAAGAGAAGCTTGGGCAGGCATCGGTCAGTGATGCTCATGAGTAGAGGTGCATTGAGCAGGCCGTGGACCGGGAGAGCCCTCCAGCCATAGAGGAGGATGCCCTACTTCCACCACCCACACCCAATCCCAGCACTTCTCCTCTGATGCTTTCTTCACTGAAGAGGCCACCCTGTTTTAACTCACACGTAACTGCTTCCAAGGACTGTGCAACCCCTTGTCCAGATGTCCAGGGGAGAACCCAGCGCTGTACTTGGGTGTTCCCCAGATGTTCTTGGACTAAAGCTCCCAGAAGTCTTCAGCCCTTGCTGTGCTGACCAGGAGTTGCAGTCCAAGAACATTTGGGGACATTGCTGGACGTTAATCTGAATTTGTGCTGTTCATGTATCTCCGCTCCCCTTTCAGAGCCTTGTCTGGTGGCTGTAAGTCAATACACGGGTGCCTAAATAATTCATGTCATATGGTTAGTGAACCATGGATGGGTTGTTGTTTTTTTTTTGATAAGTGAAAATCTTTAAATTTCTCAAAGTTTGCTCTCCAATGAGTAAGAGCACCTTTTTACCATTCATTCTGAAACTTCCAACAATTATTTGACCAGCCAATCACATGATGCAGTCTTACTACTTTTTGTTTTCTTTTTGTTGTTGTTGTTGTTAAAATGCTTCCATCAGCCATCTGTGTCCACAACAATAACCCTTGTGTATCCGCGAATCGTGACATTCTTTTGAAGCCCTGGGAAATTCTAGTTCTAGCTCACCCACTATTGCCGTCTTATTTGTATTCACGTCACAGGCTTCTCTGTTCATAAACTAATCATTTTGGGGAAGCGTGGGAAGGAAGACCCAGTGGGAAAGCTCTGTTTTGTATCAAGCAATTCCATTACACTCACGGCATTTCAGCAGATACGACTGAATCCTCTTTTTATTGATTGTGATGCTACATATGAGATATGTATACCTTGTATAGTTTTTTTAAAAAATTGTGTATTGATATGGATCATCTTCCCAATTTTGATTCCCTCCCTGATATTGATTTTTTTGGAGGATGGGGGTTCTTCATCTTCACAAAATCATGATTAGCACAAACTTACTCCCTCTGAACCCACACGTGGGAGGTGAGATACAAATGAGATTCTCACTTATTGTTTAAATATCTTCCATCAAGCAAACTTCCATGTTAACAAGTCTGTTGTACAGTTCCCGCGAGACGCTTGCCACTTTTTTCTCCTCTTCCTATAGATGTAGAAATCTGAAAACACTAAGATCTTTGTGTGAAGCACAAAGCTTACAGATTGTAGGCCAAACAGAAAGATTGGGTGCACAATAATGTCTCACTTCAACTGGAACCCTGTTATGTACGACTTGGCAAGCACAAATGCTATCCTGATCGTTGCGATGCCTTCGTTATCAGCAGTGGATCCAGCAGACGGACCATGGTTAACAGGATTTATTTAAAGGCAGGCCACACTTGGGTAGTGGTGTTGACTCTTCAAAAGGAGCCAAGAGGGAAAACGGAGGGTAGAGATGCGACATCATAGCAAGAGGGGAGAGAGAGGATCAAGAAGTCTAAGGGTCAACAAAGGAAACATCTCCATTCTCTTTTCTCTTTGCCTAGTTTGGCCCAGAAAGATCATTCAGATGAAGGTGGGCTTTTTCTGGGGCTGAGTGTTGTTCAAGCTAGCAATTTGCTTTTCTCTTCTCCTGTTTCCAGTGGTTTCCAGTGTTGGAGAACTTCACCAGCAAAGGCACAGTATGGGGTTTTGTTCCCTATTCGGAGGAGTCTGCTTCTACTGAATTTTCAGTGCCCATCACCCTTCACATTGGAGATTATAACATGGATGGCTATCCAGACGCACTGGCCATACTGAGAAATACATCTGGAAGGTACGGTCAGTAAAAAAAAAAGCAATTTCTTGTCTGCCCCTTTGATTGGTGTGATTCTTCTCCTTTAAATATCGCAATTTGTTCAGGATCTGTTTTTCCTAAAGGAGGACTGAAAGGTATTAGAAATGGATCAAATGGCCATCCAAAAAGAGGAGTGAATTTTGCAGATGGTGCCTCTATTTCACCTTTTCCACCACGCTCTGAATAAAAGAAAGAAAGGTGTGGAAGGAACCTAGAGAAAGAGGGGACCCCAACCCTTTTCTCAGTAAGCTAGTATGTAATTATCTTTGAGCCCAAGGTGGTGGTGGTAGTGGTGGTGGTTTTTAAATGACCGTGTTAAGGATAACTCTGCATTATAATTCTTCAGCAGTTGCATTTAGAGACAATAGAGTTTTTGAATCTTGCCAGTGATTTGATGCAGACACATGCCTTCCCCCCCTTTCATTTCCCACTCTTCTCAACCATAGCTTGGTTCAGAGCACAGCTGCATGGATTCTAAGCATTGTTAGCATCATTGGTTTATGCACCCATAGATACCAGTTTTTCCCCGAAAGACTGAGATGAGACTCAAACTGGAGCCTTCCCAGTTCTCCCTGTTAAGCTAAGATGCAGTAGCATCTCACTCTTGCCTTCTTTTAAGATGTCAGGAAGAAGGCTGTTCTCTGGGAAGGGTCATACATTTAGATTCAGGACTGATGCCCTAGTGATCCGCCCGCCCACGCCTCAATGTGGCTTGCTGTCCTATCTCAGCCTTTTTAGTCCCTTGGGTTCAGTAAAGGCATAGATTTCAACTCATTACATCATCTTCCCACCCTTCCATTAATGGTGTGACTCAACAGAAGCTTTTCGAAACATTGCCTCCACCGTTCTCTCAAAGGTGGTATAATGCTGGGGCGGGGGGGAGGCTTTTGGCCGGTGCCTACGTCGGGTGGAAAGGAAGGATAGGAGTTCTGCTCATGCAGCGTCATCTCCTTGTTTTTATTTTGACATTGCTCCCAATGAGCGGAGGCAGCCTTTTTTTTTAAAACCCTGGAGCATCCTGGTAGTGGTTGCAGTGTGCACTGTCAATTCCATTTCTGCCTGAGGCATCTCCTCTCCCCTCGAGCTGTTATTGACCCATTTCATTTTGATGGATACACACACCATAGATGCATTTTTCTGGTAACCGCCTGATCGCCGTTCCACTCAGTCGCAAGCCATCCATCATTGGGAAACTTGCCCGTCTCAGCGGCCCGTGATCCTTCCCACCTCAACCGCCATCCCTTTCCCCACATACAAACATCTGGGTTATTGTGTTTTAATAAAAGATCGCCTGGAGCTACTGGACGGTACCAGGGACACATGCTAGCAGTGGAACATTTATAGAATTGCATGCAAAATATTTACAGGAAACTTGCTTTGTTACTGTGGGTTGTTTCAGGAGAAAGAGGTGTGTTTAAACCTGTTGCTGAAAGCTGACTTCAGAGAAGGTTAGAGAAAGGAATGAAAATGAATGAATTCAACTTTTTGATATGAAATTTCTTGACTTCGGTTCTTAAAAATAGCTAGAAGATAAGATTTAAAGGCATACAAAATATCCTGATTAGGTCTGTACACAGTACACAGGAAAGAAGATAAAAAAAACCATTAGTAAAATGGCGTTGTCAAGTAGGACAATCAGCAAGGAAGGGTTATACGCTATTTCTTAGGTACATCTGGGCAGACATTGCAGTCGTACTGATTTCCTCTTCTGAGATTCTTTCAAGGGATGCTGGGGGAGCTGATTCTTGGCTAGGACAGGCCTTCCGTTTTCATGTGAGAGTGCGTATCTAGGAGTATTACATGTAATGGCTTCACTCTTAAGAGAGCAAGAATGTCTACATAAGATAGTTTGGAAGCATTAGTAGAAATGGCCCAAGGGGCTAGAAACGTTGAGGCCGTAAAATGGCCCATGTGTGCAAGGAATGGATGATCACTAGGATGTTTTCTATCAAGAGACACGGAGATAGAATGGATCTTTGGCCACCTCCCCTAACTAGACAGGAGTTGGTAGATGAAGGCCAGCCTCTTGACTCCACCTCAGAAAGATTGGGGGATCTGAGCTCAAGCATAGTTTCCCATCTATCCAGTTAAATCAAGCAGACGCAGTTGAAATAACAGGACAAAACTCTCTCTCTCTCCCCCCCCCCAGATCCCAGCTGGATTTTGTTCTTCTTTTTTCTATCTCCTCCGATAATCCAAGGCTTCGCAACTCATCTGGCAGCCATAGTTTCCAAGATCAGCCTCCTAGCCTTGCATAGTCCACTGTGCTGCTGTTGGGACTGGAGAGGAATGGGGAAGGGGGGAGACCTCAAAGACCTCGTTAATGCTTTGAAAATCCCTGAAAATCCCCATTTTTAAAAGCTGTATAAATGCAGATTACTGTGCCGGATGTGGAATGTAATCCATAATAAAGGAGGAGTTTTTAGAGGCCTGTGTTTTGGATACGGGATCTGGTTTAGTCGCTGCGGCGTTTTACTAACATCTAGGAGCGAGCACTGAAATAATGGGTTTATTTTTAATTTATCATATTTATATCCTGTTTTTTCCCCTCCCTAAGCCTAGATTATTTCCAAAAGCTGCTTATAATTTAAAATGCACAATAAAAGGTACAGTATGTATATTACATCCACAGGACAGAGTTCCAGGTAGTTTCTCTCACGCTCCAGCATTAAATGATGCAGTCCCAAATTCATCATTTGTCTCCTCAGAACAAGGGGACAGAATAAAGGTTGCGGGGGGCATTGCTCAGCAACAGATACCGAATGAGAAATAGGTAACTTTTCTCCCCTCCACTTCTCAAACTTTTATAAGATTTGTTAACGAGTTGTAATAGCTTTCTAAACAGCAAGAGCTGTGACATTAACTCATCACACCTTAGGCATCCTTATTCCCTCTGAGTTTAGCTGTAGTCCTCACAGTATCTGGATTTCCATTGTTTAAAAAGAGGTCAGATGGCATCTGTTGTTTGTGATTTTAAACCCCAGAAGCCCCGAGAATTTTGCACTGAAATATAGAAGGACGGAGAGATGCGACTGATTCTGTGTAGATTCAGCAAAGGGAAGAAGGAACTTGCATAGCCATTCTCTAATTACAGAGCAGTCAACTAGTTAAGTAGATTTTAGCATTCACAGTGCACATTTTACAAACACACCTTCGGCACCTTCCTTTGGGGAAGGTTTTAATGAATGATTGATCAGAGCATGGGGATGGTACCGTTCTGCAACTGTGGCCATGTTGGATGAGAAGGAACTGAGAAGATGTAGTCCCAAAAGGGATTTTCTGGAGGCACAGATTCTGGTAACACTTTTGGCATCAAGAATTTCTTGCCTTGAGTGTGTATCATTGGCATGCATTCATAAAATACGTTATAATTCCCTTCCTCACCGGGCTGTGGCTTACTCTGGCAAATCCTGAATTTCCAATAAAAGGGTAATTCAGGCAGTGGCTCTGCATGCCTACTTGTGACTCTTCTTCCCTCTGTTCAAGACAGTTGGGATATTTTATTTTATTTTAAACCGCAGAACCTATTTTCAGTCCAAGGTTTGTGGAATTGCTCTGTGAAATGTGCAGGAAATGTTGCTGGCAGTGTCAGAAAGGTGATTGTCACATCAGTATTAAAATTCCTTACATGCCAAGACACTGATTAAGTGAAGCTTTGCTGGAGAAACACGTAATAAATCTATTATCGCTGGTGTCCTGATGCTGGAACTCGAGCTGCTGTGAAGAAGGATGACAAGCATGAGCTAGCAAAGACACTCGGACAAGCTCTGCAAGATGTCGCACAAAGACTTTCCCTTCCCCCTTTGGCAGTCCCATCGGTAGCAAGCTCCTTTTTAACAAAGGGATGCGTATTAATCATTGTCACCCTTAACAAATGCCTGTTTGGCGCAACGTGTTGGCTGCTGTGTGGGCAGAATATTGGATGGCATCGGGGCTCTCCATATCTTGTCATGTTTTAATTTTTAAAACTACATTTTGAGCCATGATTAATATACATTTCTTTGTTTGGACAGTCTCCGGGAATTGATGGGCTCTGAAGGTGAAAACAGAGCGTCTGTGCTACATCATTCCACTTGAAAACAAACCCACATAGGGATGACACGAGAATGTATAGAAGATCAAAATTGGCAAAGAGTAAATACTGCCAGGGAAAACTACCATAATTCCACCAAGGGACCATCACTACCTTGATTAAAACATGCCATCTCTTGAGTTCAGAAGCAGGGATTTTTTTATTTTTATGTATATTTATGTAAGGTGTGTGCAGGATTGAACTGAGTTTGTTCCATGGCTACTAGATTGATGGAATATCTGATGGGTTCTTGAAGCTGTTGGGTAACTGGTGGAACTTAGCTGGCACATGGCTCCTGTTTGGCATGTAGTACTCCTTATAGAGTAACATTGTTGAATGTTACAAAAGAGTATTGTGAGAATAGTATAAACAGTGTTCTTTGGATGCTGTTCAGCCACATGTTGACCATCTGTGAGCTGATCCTTCTGAAGCTTAAACAAAATGAGCTTATACATCTGGAGTGTGTACTGTAAGGCGTTCCCTTCAACTACTCTTTATGATAAAGATATCAGGTTTTGACAGGTCTTCGGATCACTGTATGCAAGTGAATATGCATTATACTCATTTCTTAGTCATTAAGTATGTCTTCATAATGGTTGAGCGCTATGCACGTCCTGCCTAGTGCGTGGGCATGCGTTCTTATTGAATCTATAATTCCACCTCATTTCTGCGATGAAAGACTTTGTTTATCACTATAATCAAGGAAGACAGATGTACTCTCAAAACAAAACACACACAAAATTCCAGTGGATGAGGAGAAAGAAGCCAGGGACCTTTTTCTTAATTCTGGCCGATTTCAAGGTTCAGTTAAGCATAGGTTATTAATGAATGCTTTACTTTTGATTCAAGTTAAAAGTTTTTTTAAGAAAGCAACTGATTTTTCAGGGAGACAGATCATTCTGATTTT